TTAGCCCTTCTGGCCACAGCTCTTGTCAGGCAGTCCTCTTCCAGATTGTAGCTGTAGGTGGTCTCTAGGAACAACACTCCTTCCCCTTTCCTCTCGGGCCTAGGAGTCCTACTAACTTGCCACTGTTGATGTGTTTCAACATTTCTTTCTAGTTCCTGTGAATACTGATTGTACTTCTGTAAACAATCCTTTGGTTAAACTCTTCATTTAAACCCTTTTGAATGCACCAGCTATTTTTCTGCAAGGATTCTGACTGATAAACTAGGAAAACAAAACAAAAAAATGGCATGTTGTTGCACTTCGATTCATTCAATTTCTAATATCTTTAATATTAAAGAAAGAGTCTCCTTTTCCTCTGATCTAAAGTTTTCCATCCTTCTGGGACTCCCTGGTCTTCCAAGAAGCCTCTCTAAAATACTGTTACCTACAGAAAAACACTATTGTTGCCACTATTGTGCCGTGTGGCATATCTAGTGTGACATTAGTACTCTATTGTCCTATAGTTCTATGATCATTCAGTTTTGTCAGTCTGATCATCCCTGCAGGGCAATAAGCTCTTAGCAGTAGGGAACTTCAGCAATTAGAATCTCTAATGACAAACACATTTAGAAGGAAACTTAAGAGGTTACCTTGTCTAACTTTTTTATTTTATAGATGTGGTTTAGTTTTACACAGCTACAGAATAGTGGCAAACCCAAACCCATCATCTAGATTCTTCATATTGTTTCACATGCTGTGATACTGAGCTGGGTATGCAATATGCTAATGACTCGTACTTAAATTTTTTCAGTTTTTGTTTTGTTCAATGCTAAGCCGTGTGCCTAGACAACTATCCAGCCTACAGGATGTGCCCAGCAAGTATTTGCTCATTTTGAACCTGTGATGCAAGACTAATTCCTTAGAAGTTAATCAGAATTCAGAGGATCGTTATAATAGTAATCCCCCATACACCTAGAGAAAGTGAATAGTTTCAAGGTGCTTTCACATTTAAATGAGCCCATTTGCTCCCTCTGAGGTAGACATGGCAGGAATTATTAGTTTATTTTAACAGATGCAGGAAACTGAGCCTCTGAGAAGTTAAAAAGCAAGGTCCCTTTATTAGTATGTAGTAGAGCTGATACCAATATTCATGTTTTTTTTTACTTCCACTTCAATACCATTTCCATTATTCCATGTTGCTTCTTCAGCTTTGCTATTCCGCTTCTAGGTATAGCAGTTTCATTCATGGAGTGAGTCTGAATATTCACAATAAATAGGTAAATAAATAAGTAAATAGGTAGATCATATACTTGTGCTCAAAGAAGTGATTTTGCTCCTTTAAAAAATCCACTATTGGGGACGCCTGGGTGGCTCAGTTGGTTGAGCAGCTGCCTTCGGCTCGGGTCGTGATCCCGGCGTCCTGGGATCGAGTCCCACATCGGGCTCCTTGCTCATCGGGGAGCCTGCTTCTCCCTCTGCCTCTGCCTGCCATTCTGTCTGCTTGTGCTTGCTCTCTCTCCCTCTCTCTCTCTCTCTCTCTGACAAATAAATAAATAAAATCTTTAAAAAAAAAAAATCCACTATTGGGGGCGCCTGGGTGGCTCAGTGGTTAAAGCCTCTGCCTTCGGCTCAGGTCATGATCTCAGGGTCCTGGGATCGAGTCCCGCATCGGGCTGTCTGCTCAGCAGGGAGCCTGCCTCCTCCTCCTCTCTCTCTGCCTGCCTCTCTGCCTACTTGTGATCTCTACCTGTCAAATAAATTAAAAAAATCTTAAAAAAAATTTTTTTTAAATAAAAAAAAATCCACTATTGGGGCACCTGGGTGATTGGTTAAACAAAGGATTCTTGGCTTCTGCTCAGATCATGATCTGGGAGTCATGAGATTGAGCTCCACGTCAGGGTCTGCTCTCAGTGAAGAGTTTGCTGGAGATTCTCTCTCCTTCTGCCCCTCCTGCTCATGTTCTCCCTCTAAGATAAATAAACCTTTTTAAAAATCCATCATTAAAAGTACTTCTATTCTACTTCTGATTAGATAAAGCCTGCAAATTATCACCATTCTTCTTTTTGAGATTTTATTTATTTATTTGACACAGAGAAAGAGAAAGAAAATGAGACAGAGGACAAGAAGGGGTAGTGGCAGGCAGAAGGAGAGGGAGAAGCAGCCTCCCTTAGCAGGGAGCCCGATACGGGGCTCGGTCCCAGGACCCTGAGATCATGAGCCACAGGCAGATGTTTCACCGACTGAGTCACCCAGGCACCCCAGATTATCACCATTCTTGATTATTATGAGGCCTGTTATTTCTCTGAGGGAGGAAGAAGGTTATCATCAGTGTGTTTTGGAACAAGGGAGATAGCACTTTTGAGACATGACTTCCTACACAGATCTCTTACACTTCCTGTACAGCTGGGGCCTTATAAAACTAGGTCTTCAAAGAAAAACGAGTAACCTCTTGTCCTTGGCCTGACCTCACCAGAGAGGGGCTGGGCACACTGGCTTTCTTCAAGATCAAATGCACCGGAGAACTACTTATAAATATTTTGATTGAATTCTCTTACCACAAAGACTTTGGTACAGATTTCACCCTGGGTTTTAGGTATTAGGACGATTTCTGGTCCTAATCGGAACATTGCAGAAACCAAAAAGAATCTAAACATATTAGCCATCTTCTTTGGATTTCAATTTCCACTAAAAGCTCAGAGTGTTGACTCAAAAAATGACCCAAACTAAAGTCCTACATCTTAACAACAGGGGCACAAACTCAAATGCCTACCAGATGCCAGGCAAATAAAGCAAAGCTCACTGTAAGTAAACAAAGAGTAATGGAGTCTGTAATGAACTATAGTAAATTAACAGTTGCTTTTCAGTTCCAACCACCAGTTGCTTTGTGGGAATGTGAGTTAAAAGTTAACAGATCTCCTTTAAAAAAAAAAAAAAAAAAAAAAAAAAGGCTGTAAATCTGCATTGTTAAAATGTGAAATCTGGTTTTAAATAGCTACTAATTCAAACTTGCAAGGCTGTTGCAAGCCGTGGGTAGCCAGCCAGAGTTTGACTTTTCTTTATGGAGTAGGTCTCGTGTGCCATATGAGAGAATGATAACAAATGTGCCACTTTCAAGTCAAATGTAGTATAAGATCTATGCTTTTTTCGGTGAATCTGGATATTGCTGGAGAAATGGACAAACTCCGTGAGTTAATAGAATGCGCCTTAGCTAGGAGTTTGGGGGTATCTGTTTCAAGAGGTAACTGGGTAAATGTGTCCCACTTTGGGAAGTATGTGGTGGGGAATAAAAATCCCCTTTGCTAGGTATTCAGGCAAAGTTATTTTCTCTGGAGTGTCTGGGAAACCCTTATGTATATTCAAGTATGGGGAGGGGGCAATAACCTCGGGGAGTATCGGGAGAACAGTTTACAAGAGAGTATGAGGATAGACAGGTGTTAGTGGGAAGTACACACAGCTGTACCCCAGTCAGGCAGTCTCTTCAGGGTTAGTCTCTTCAGTGTTGGGAGGGAGAAGGCAATAACCTCTCCTCCGGCGCCACCTTCGGGCGCTTCTGCTCACCATTGCCGTACGGCCGCCAACTTCACGGATCTCCATCTTAACGCTTTCTGCGCAGGCGCCCTAGAGCCCCAGGGTAGGGTTTAGGGCAGAGTCCCGCCTCTGACCACGCCCCTCCTCACTAGCAACCCCCCCCAACCACGCCCCTCTTCTCAGGAGCCCGCCAACTGCCCCTCCCGCCTTGGTTTCCCAAAGCAGTCCTGTAGCTGTTGGCCTGGCTCTAAGTTCCTGACGCTGGGGAATAATGATGAAATACTCAGACCCTGCCTTTGGGTAGATAGCAGACTTTTGAGGAAGACAAACAAGTAAATTATAACTTTTAAGTGCTCTGTGAAGGGGTTCAGGGTTGGTTGGGTCCTAAAGGCTGCCATGAAGTAGCAGAACCTAGAAGGCCATGGAAAAGCCTGCAGGCCATTCCAGGAAGGGGGAACAGAATGTGCAAAGGCACTGAAGGGTAGGAGTACAGTGTGTGTGTAGGGTTGGAACTACAGGGAAGAGCTTTAGAATAGCTAATTACAGGATGGTAGGGGGGTGTCTGCACTGCCCTGGAGGATCTTAGAATTTCAGCCCAAAGGCTAGGATAGGTAACTACTGAATAGTTTTAATAGGAGAGAGACTTACCAGAGTATGTGAAGAGGGCTGGGGCAGAACTGAGGCAGGTGATTATCACAGTAATATCCAGATAAGAGGAACTAAAAGCCACTATTCCATTTGTGGTACTGGGAACTGAGGTAAGACAATGGATTCAATAGGTAAGTTTAAGGCAGAAATGACAGAGCACAAATGGCTTCCAGAAGAAAGAGGAAGTTTTAAAAATGACTGGGGAACTGAATTGTAAGGATTTATTTAGCAAGCAAATGGAAATGAACTGGAAGGCTGGAGTTAATTCCCTATCCTATGCTCCCACTCAGCTCCCACCCCACAAGGGTTAAGAAACTAGGTAAGCACTTTTTTGTGTCAGTTTCTCTGATCTCCCTGCCAGGAGGCCTCATTTTACCTTGTTTCTTCCAATACAGGAGGAGACTTTTTACTTCAGCTTTATTTCCTTGAATCTTCCCAAATGAAAGTCCAATTTCTACTCTTAGGCCTATTCCTCTGTCCTGTACATGGCAGCCTCAGCCCTCTACCAATCCCCAGAAACACACCCTTACCTTGTCCTCACAACATGGACTAGTTTATACTACTAGCACATGACATCTCCTACTCTTCTGGACCTTTTGCAGGAAGCTGATACCTTGGGTCCCCGTGACTCTGTTACTGGATTGGTAGTCTCAGGTCAAGGCCAAGATGCTAGCCCACATTACCTGCTTTACTGCTTGGTACTTATCCAGAGCTGTTTTACATTGTCGGGGAGAAGAGGCAGCAGAGCCAGGTAAAAAATTTACCATTATACAGGCTTACACAGGATAGTCATTTCTATAGCTTTCCACACCTTAACAGAATTACGGGACCCCAGAGGCTGCTCTAAGATAATTTATTATAGACTAGCCAAAAGTGTCCTGTGACAATGGCACATACAGTAATTAACAACAGCAAAGATGCTTAGTTTCTTGTTATATGTAATGGCTGGTACAGCTGTGGATAACATGGAGTCCTCAAGAGGTCCAGGAGGCTGCTACCAAGGATATCCAAGAACCATGTCACTTCTCTGATCAAGGGCTGAGAAGTTCATATGACCTTCTAAAAGAATTTGTCTTTGACTTCCCAAGGAATGTTGATGGCCCCTCTATCCAGCCTGTACAGAGGGATCATAGTCCAAGCTCCTTCTGTAGGGTTGAACATCTGTGAGGCGAACAGCAGCTGACCTAGATGAAAGGGAGTGAGGCCAAAGACTAGATTCCTTCTGCAAAGGAGAGAACAACCAGAAGGCAGTAGCCATAGGTGAAGAGGACTCCTTCTAGACTGGTTTCTACAATTTTTGGCTTTGTTCAGAGTCTATCCAAGAAGAAAATACAGCCCTCTTTCCTGGATCCTTCAACTAGCCCTCAGATGCACACACAGAGGAATAGCCTCTCATGTTCTGAAACAACATTGTTCCCCTTCCTACAGGAGTGAAGGAGGGGGACTCCTGGGCAGGTGGCCTCTTTGGAATATTCTGCTCAGGGCTCTGAAGTATCATGTGAACCTCATTCTACTCATGACATATTTGGGGAAAAAGATTAGCACAGCTCATTTCCAGAAGGTATCTTGTTCAGTCTCAAAGCCTTGTTTTCATGGAGCCACACAAAACCAGTGGATCCTGCTCAAGGGAGACTCTAAATTCTCTTCTGTACATTCCTGCCCCGGCCATACTCCAATCCAGACTATAGGGCTCAGCAACACCTTGAGGCTCAACTGACTATTTAGCTAACCAGATACATGCTCCAGGCTCTCTAAACTTGTTCTTCTAATGGTTGATATGTATGGGTCTAGCTGGATAAGGTGTGGCATGGAGAGGGGTGTCTACAAAGAATGGCTGATACTCTCAGAAATGTTTGTCCCTCCCTTTATGGAAAACTTCCCTATGCAGTAATACCCACAGCCCAGCTCCTAGCACCACAGACCTGCTGGTCAGGGATTCGTGACCCTTTCTGTGAAAAGCCATAGTTTCATCACCCCAAATTTTTCCTTTAATGTCCTCAAACTGAAGGAGTCAGCCTCTCAACTATGAGGACCTTAAGCTGACTACACAGTAACTCTCACTGGCACTGATTTGTGGAACTGATGCCATCTGGTTGGCACAGGAACCTAGGTGCTCAGCTCTCCTCTTCTATGGAACGAGACTCCGATTTGAGCTTCACAAACTCTCGAGCCACTTCGTCATTGCTCCTCTGAGATAGAATCCGGAGAATAGTCATTCCTGTCTCATCCATGTGGATCTTCCGGCCCAAGGGGCACCAGCAAGCACAGCTGCCCTTGGCTGCCACATCCCTCAGAGGCATCACAGCCAGCCCCAGAACACGATCCTCACGGGCAAAGCAGTAATCCTTCACACATATTTGCAACTCATAGGCTTCTGGTCCCTCTTCATTTCCCAGGAGGCTGTAAGCACAGGGTGGGTGGAAGGGAGGAAGCCAGAGCTGAAAGAGTCTTCAGATGAATTTACCCCAGCCACCATCCGACCCATTCCCTCCTCTTCCTTCTCAAGTCTTACCTCCCAGCTCACCCCCACCCCAGAGTCCTAGAGGTCCCCTACCCTGTAACTCACAAGTGAAATGTCTCATTGTACTTGGGGGCCCAGTTGTTGCTCTTTGATTTGGTTGTGAACTTCCTCTTCTTGTCACTTTGGTGTGGGCCAACCATGGTCACTTCCACAAAGGGCCGGAACATACCTGCTGTCTGCCACTTGAGGTCATTGGCTGCTACCACTGCCCAAACAAAGGAAGCCTGTGAGGGATCCCACCACATGTTCCCAGTTCTTGAGCCCCCAGGTGGCAATCCCCTTGGAGGAAGGCTAAGTTCGAGGACTGAGATAAAGCAGCCCCTGCCTTTAATTGATGAGGCTAGTGCATAAGAAACAGTCTACAACTTGTAAGTCTGCGCCACTCACCTTTCACTGTGACCTTGTGCTCCCCAGTTCCAGGATGTGTAAACAAGTCCACCTGAATGGACACTTCTCCCACAGGATCATCTACACCAGACCCTGAAGGACAGATGGACAGTTGGTCCCTCACTGAAGAACACTAAGACTTCAGGCCTAATTATCCCAGGTAAAACTGAGGAGTTAGGAGGCCACCACCTTATATCCTAAAGTCTGAAGCAATCACCCAAAGTAGCCATGGGGAAGTAAGCAATGGGAGAAGGGAAAGCAAGAGGATAAAGAATGAAGTTGTGTATTAAAATACATTAAGGTGACGACATCTTAGGTGAAATGTTCCAAAAATGCACTGGGAAATCTCTCAGGTTCCCCAAACCTCTCTTATCTCCCAGGCTGAAGAATTTTTCATTGAAAGATATTAGAGAGAAGGACAGTATTGCCACCTTGTATTTTTGTCTGGGAATTATGGCCACCCCACAGTGTCTCAATGGAACAATGTGGGTCCCTTCTAGCCAAAGGCAATACTCTCCACTCTCCCACCTATCCTTGGATTCCGGGACGTCCCTGGTTGGGAGGCTGCCCTGCTCAGACTTTGTCCTATTCACACCTGGACCCCTCCACAAGTCCCAGTCTCTGGCCAGTTTGTAGGCTCCCCTCAGCAGAGGTCTCACTATTTTGATAAAATACCGGTACCCTGCACCCCAGATAAAACTCTGTCCTCAAGTGGAGGGGTGGGGGAATCCTGAGGACAGAACTACTGTCAACCCCTTCTCAGACTGTATGAATACAACACTCATCTCTGAGACTTGGGATAGAGCTTCTGAACTTTGACACATAGCTCCCATACTGCCAGCCTAAGCAGCAGCTCATTCTAGTTCATAGGGAACAGTGTTAGCCTATGTTAGATTCACATGTGCAAGGTATACAACATACCCTTTTCCGGCCGAATGTCCTCATTAGCTGTAAACCTAATACCTTTCCCATCATGCACTGAGTGAGAACAGGCAAGTCAAGAAGTAGTAGCAGCAGCAGGACAGAGAAAGAATAGTCAGTTAGAGGTCTAAGGTGTTAACAGCCATCTGGAGCAACTCTACACATATTTTGAGGGATCACAGAGCTGAGGTGGAGAGAGAAGTCAAAGAGCTGGGGTCAATGCCTCAGTGCTCCAAATTAGACTTCATGGGTCAAAGATCAACCAGATCATGGGGGAAAAGCAAAAGAACATACAGAGAGAAGGTATTTGAGACCATCAGGCCAGGAAAGAGAGATGTTGTAGGCTTTAATTTCCTAGGCCTTAAATGATAAAACAATGGGTACGAAAGGTATACACACACACTTGGATCCTCCCTGCAGTACCTGCCCTTGCTCTTATCACATACGTGCCCATTTCAGCCTTTCCTCATCTTTACATCTAGCTTAAAGTTCAGGATTTCTAAAAAGTCTTTCTGGATGAACTCAGATCCTCCCCTGATGTTACAGGTCTTTCCATGTACAGCTCTTTAAAAGATCTCCCTGCCCCCTTGAGCAAGGCTCATAACTCCTTTGCTCTCTCTTCTTCCCATCCTGGACTTGAAATAAGAACAGGTGTGGAAAATGGAGCAGTGCTACAAGTCCCTTGCATCTTTTCACCTTCTATCAACTCTAGTCTAACTGCTTAGATCCCTCTTCCCCTTCAGGTCAGCTCTGCGCTCTGAATCCACAGCCTAAGAAAGCCTAAATTCTCCCACTCCCGCCATCAGATTCACTCGGCATCACACCCAGGGTTTCCCAGATGAAATAATAAATGTGCCTGAAAGTCTTTTCTGGGAGGGCTCTGATCCAGGGCTAGGGGCAGAATTTCAGTCTGAACCATCTCTAGGTAGATGTGTTTTGTTTATAGAGAGGACTGCCTAAAGACAGGGAGGGGTCCTAAGGACTGGAAGTCACTGGGAGAAAACCAGCTACCTGGGCCCCTACACATAGGCATCACCCATGAGGCTGGAACCTCAGCTATGCACAGAGCCCCAAGATCCACATCCTCTTTTCAACTGCTCCCATAGTTTGCCTCTCCTAGTCTTTTTTCTCATCCACACTAGACAATCTGTAGTCTTTTGCTTTCTCTCTCCAGGATAACTTCCAACAAGATTCCCAAAGCTATGAGTTTTCTTGAGTGTCTCAATCACTCATTCTCCAGGCTTCCTGACAGATACTTCCTAACAGACAGGGTACACTCCTTGATAAACATGCACTAGCCCGGCAATGTCTGGAAAAAGAATCTCAGGCACATTTCCCAGGTACCTGTCATTTTCCTGTCTGGTATGGGTATGGTGTGGGGGTGAGTACTGGGGTCCCTCAAGAAATCCTGGGATCTGAGTTTGATAGGCTCTCTGGAGAAGTACCTGGATCCTTCCTAAGGGCTGGAAGCTAGTGACTCCCTAGAGGCAGAAATGTATCAAGGAACGGAGATAGGGACCCAAAGCCCTTAGGCCTTACCCTGGGCAGTCTGTGAGCGCACAAAGGTTTTGATGAGTGTGTCGGTGGTCTGTGTGTACAGAGATAGGGCATAGCGTAGGGACTGCAGATCTGGGCTCTTCTCCAGGAAGGTTTTCTTCAGCCCATTACCTCCTGCATGAAAGTATTGCTGAAAGACAAAAGAATACCTGCTATAGCCTCCTCCCCTTATAAAGAGGCAGCTTTCCACACTGTCCTCAGAGAAAATCCTATCTGAGCAGAAGCTCAATGAAGATGCCAAAAGAGGATGATGAGGACAATAAGCCATTCAATAGACAACAAGATCAGAAATACCACGCAGAGTCACAATCTCTCAGGTGAAGAGTTACTATTTGTGTAGGAGCAGTGAGGAGGGATGGCCACATTCCTGGATGCAGGTCTTTGAAATATGGACCTATCCAGACAAGCAAAGTTATGGAATAGAAGCATTTCAGGCAGAGAATTGCCAGAAGTGCTCTTTTACCCCTCTGAACTCTTATTAGAGAACATTATCCTTTAACATAATTCTCCCAACTGCCCCATATCATGGTTTATGTGTACCTGCCTTACCAAATTATAAGCATCTTAAAGCTAGGAACTATATCGGATTTTCTCTGTATCCTTCATGCACAATGTCATGTGCACATGTTGCCTGGCTGAATGAAGGAATGGGTAGTAGAAAGCCCAAATAAATTTATATATAAGTGGAAGAGGGAAATTTCTGCCAGATCTGGGGTATGAGGATCTGAAAGATTAATTCCCAGTAGCAAATATTCAGGAATGGCAATGTGAACTAAGTAGACTGAACTATACTCAAAACCCAGGAATAAGTGCTCTGGGTCTGTGGTAAGTCATCTGAGACCATAAAGGAGGTAACTTTTGGTTGCTCCCAAGCAGAAATATGGATATAACAGGGAAAGTAACAAACATAAAAAATCACTCTCTTCTGGATGTGGGGTGGCAAGAGCCCAGGGGACATCAGTTTGGCAGAGTGGAATTCCAGGAACATGAGGTATGAGTGTTTGGAGAAGAGGCAGGTCTTCACCTTGATGGTGTCCAGAGCGAGGTCAAGGACGGCACACTGCTTTGGAGTGAGATTCCGGGTTTCCTCTCGTACCATGTGGTCCTGGAACCCCAGAGAAAGCAATAGCATCAGGACAGCTTGGGGCTGCCACGACAGTCTTTCCCCATCTGCCAGCTTATATTACATGTTCCTCTCATTCTTTTCCTCTTCCGTCTCCAAAGCTCAAATATTCTTCCTCCTGGCATCCTGTCACCCCCAGCCTGAGAAGGACCCCATACATCCACAGTACCTTGAGTTTGGAAAGATGGCTCAGCTCCTTGGCAGCGGTGAAGATTAGCTGGGTGCCCTGGGCAGAGAGGGGATTGGTCAAAAGCAGAGGACTCCAAACTTGATCAGGAAGTGTGGAGCAAGATAGAGGAGACAGCAGGAGGAAATGGAAGGGGAGCATCCTTACCGTCTGGTCAGTGAGTGGGGGCAGAACAATCATCCTTTCCATTGTGTTCATCACCACCCGCCAGAGCTCCTTCAGTACACGCTTCAGGACTGTCTTCTCACACACAGTGGCAAAGAGTGTGAGGCTGTGGGCCCATGTAACAGGTAAGACTAGAGCTAGAGTTTGAGAGCCCCTTTCCCTGAGAGGCTTCTCCATGTGATTGCCTCTGCTTTGCCTGTCCCACAGGACAGTTGAGTGCTGTACTCACTTGCCATCCAGGAAGTCCATGAGAGGCCGGAGCACACTATCTGCATCCTGAGCCACTGAAGCCCTGGCGTTGGGGGATGCATTCCCTGGGCCCCGAACCTGGCCCAGGATGTCAGCCATTTGTCGAACACACTCATCAATCCGCACCTGAAAACTACACATGTGCCCGCAGTGCAGCCCTCCCCTGCCCAAACACGTACTGTCCTTGGAGCAACACCAGCTATTCAGTCCCACTCCAGCATACTCCTGATGCAGCTCCAACAGGGACAGCCAACAGGAGGAGAGGAAAGATCCACATCCTGCAGCTGGATGGAGGGTGTGGGGCAGGGGCTTTGGGACTGGCCAGGGGCCATACCTGGCTCTATGGCTGTATGCTTGGGGCCACTGACCTGTTTCCAAATACCATGCTGAGTTCATCCAAAACTGTATTCAGTTTCACCTGCAGCTCCTTCAAACTGTCTGCAGCTTCAGGGTCCAACTGTATCCACAGAAAGTATGCTTGGCTGAGCTGGGTTTTGTATACTTTTCTTCCCTCCTGCACCCCTAAACCCTCCCTCAGAAGGCCTTTACCCCAGTGTCTATTTAAATCCCTCAGCTTAAACCAGCCCAGACCCTAAGCTAAATTGCTGGCATATACCTAGTCAGGAGATGGTAGAGTTCTATGGCCAGGGAGCTAAGGAACAAAGGGAAAGCACAGCAACCCCACACCCTGAGACCTACCTCCTTGCCTCCCATGGCCTCAAACATTTTCTCCAGCTGGACCCTCAGTTGCTGCATGTTGTTCATCAGGATGCAGGGCTTTGGGGAAGATGGAGCTGTTGAGTCTTGACTTCTTTTGGCACAGGACCTATCAGACTAAGGTATCTCTCTCATACTACTCCAAAAATGACATGGAATTTACAACACATATTATATGCATCTCTTCCTAAGCACTGAGATCTGGAACCAATTCAGACAGTTCTCCTTGAACGAAGACTAGGAGCAAATGTTTCCGTTTTTAAGCAGGGTGGTGGGCCTCAGGTGTTCATGGCGTTATTCTTTTAACTCTTTGAATGTCTTAATTTTATTTTTTAAGAAAGATTAAGTAAAGCTCTAGCTTAGTAGAAAATTAAGTACCAAATGGAGGCTCAGACGAAATCCTAGTCAAGTTCTTCTTATTTTGTGTCATAATCTCAAAAGAAGCCCTACTGGGAATCAAGTCAGGAGCATCACCCCCACCCTCAGCTCTGAGGATAGCCTCAAAAGAAAGGATTCAAATGTCTTCCACTCTCTTCTCTAGGCTCCCAGGACCTGACCCTCACCATTTTCTCCTTTGTGCAATAATCTGGGAAGCTCTTTGATAAGATATTTGCATATTGCATCAGCACCTTCCCGATGGTCTGAAAACAAAAAAGAAAAAGAGAAAAGGAAAGCGAAGGGAACCCTTAGCTTTCCCTACACAGATCTTTCCTGAGATCATACCTGTCATCCCAGAACAACAATAGGGAGGTAGAGTGGAATCTCATAGTAAGGGACAAAGCTCCCTCTCAACCCCAGAAACACACCAAGATAAACCCACCAGTCTGCCCCAGACACAAGCAAATGAGAACGGGGTGATGCCAGACTTTACCGGAAGGCCACCACAGAGAGGAATTGAGCTCAGGCCTGTGATGAGGCTGTGAGCATGGTAAAGGCAAATGGAAGGGGAAAGGGAGGGTCATGGTCACCTTAGCAAATCTCCTCATGTAGTGGGCAAGGATGCTGGGGTCTGGGCATTCCAGCTTCCGGATGATTTCAAAGCTCTGGTTTAGCTGTGTGAAGACGTCCACCACAGAGCAGGAAAAGAGTGCATGCTCTGATGTCTGCTGGAACTAAGGAAGGCCAACAATAGGATTGTCATCTTTAGCCACTACCTTTTCCCAAGTGTATAGGGTTCAAAAGGGCTCTGCCTAGCAGGGGAGGCTCTTTGGCCCTCCTTATGAACTCCACAGGGAAGAAACTAAAGCCCTGGAACTTTTTTTTTTTAAGATTTTATTTATGTATTTGACAGAGAGATATCACAAGTAGCAGAGAGGCAGGCACAGAGAGAGAGGGAAGCAGGCTCCCTGCTGAGCAGCGAGCCCTAAGTGGGACTTGATCCCAGGACCCCGAGATCATGACCCAAGCCGAAGGCAGCGTAAAGCCCTGGAACTTTTGCTGGCAGCTAAATGCTGGGACACCTGGCCTGACCCAAGTGCAGTCCAAGGCTCCAACTTACCCCATCCTTCTTATCTCGTTCCAGGGCCCCACGCAGGAATTCCAGGGACACATCCTCATTTTCATCCAGCCATTGCAGGACAAACTGTTCAAACCACCTGCAGCCAGGCAGGAGAATTGGGGGTTAAAGCCAGTGGTTGGCATATGCCATGTGCTTAACAGCTCCACCAGACTAGGGTCTTCTAGAAGATAGGGCACAGTTTGATGCTTTTCTCTTTCTACAAGAGAGCCTAGAACTGGCAGTCTTAAGACTGGCTTGCTGAACTGAAATGAAGACATAGGTCCTGCCCACCCCCTAAGATGGAGGGACCCCTTCCCTTCCCCATGTAGTGCCCACATGAAGACTCACACTGGGTACTCAGGCACCTGCCCCTGGAGGGCAGGCAGATCTCGCACGTATTCATTGTGGAGCCACTTCACCTTGAAGTGTAGGTTCATGTAGTCAGCGCTCTTACACAGCCGGTCTTTCTCATGCTCTAGTGGTGGGGAAGGAAGCTGAGTCAGGTCCCAGCAGCAGAGGCCATGGTTCTTGAGCTTTCCCAAAGCAGCAGATGTGGCCAGGCAGCTCTATCAGAAGTCTTAAAACAAGGGTGATTCCCAACCACTTCCTCACAACCATCACTCCCTACCAGAACTCTGCTCTCCAAGAGCCTGGCCCAAATCTTTTAGAGACTAAACCAAACTCCCCAATAGAAGTCTTCTTGCTCTAGCTTCTAGAAGTGTCAACTGAGATACTGGCATCTGGTGAAGAAGAGGAGAAAGAGATGTGGGTGCTAATGTTGATTAGTGGAGAGGCTGCCCAGGACTAGTGAGGGATGGTGGTTTCCTAGGACTTCTCTAATCCTAGTAGCTGGGCCATTCCCTCAGATCAGCTTAGATGAAGCGATGAGCAGCTACACACAGCATGAATGAGTCAATGACAACTACAGAGACAGGGAAAACCACAATGGGCTGATAGAAAGAGCAGTTAAGCAGCCAGTGTAACAGCATCTTAAAGTAAACTAAAGTGCCCCAGAATACAGTTGAGACACTGAGAAAATGAACTCTCCGAGAAGTATGCAAATAAGAATAGTCAGTTTGGAAACCACAGGAACACAGCAGATGAAAGGGCTATTACGCTGTAAAAAATGGGATGCTTATTATGGACTTTTAAGGTCATCTAACTGGATCTTCAGAGCCTTCTGGAGAATCCAGGACAAACACCACCCATGGACCAGAATGCCTGGCGCACTGGCTACAACAACAGGTTCTCTTCATCCACCCCTTTATAAATAAAAAATTAATTTGAAATAATAAAATCGAACAATGTGCTTACATATAACATAATGGAAAAAAAGCAGGCAAATGGGGGAAGAGTACTGAGTGACAGAGAAAGGAAGCTCAGGGTCCTTGTGACCTCTACTGCTCAACTTTGAGTTGCTATGGGTGATGCTCCTCCACAGCAAAGCAGAAATCCAATCTGGGGCAGTTGGCTCTTGCGAATTAGTACAACAGACCCTTGTGGAGGAAATGGGAGCTTGGGATTCAGCCGCAAAATGCTCCCAGTCCCAGGAAAGTTCATCTCCTGGTACGGCAGGCAGCACCACCTCTGGGGTCATCAGAGAGACTTCTCAGGGCTTGCCCCTTCTCTTCCACCCCGCACTCTGCTATCCTTAAACCAGTGCATGAACCTAGAGACAAAAAAATGTACCATGAGGAGGACTCTCTTTCCTTCCTGTTCAGTAGCCCACTAGAAGTGGAGGCAGTACTGCTCCATCACTCCCAAAACTCCCTAACTGCTTTCTTCTAGGGATCTTCAAGTTACTGTATTTATATAATTCTCCCTTTCTCTGTCAATCCATTATCTGTACTCTGATCCCAAAACTCAATTTCAATATTAATTTCTGTAGTACAGAAACTAACAGGATGACTGCTGAAACAGTGGTCACACTTTATTCTAACAAGTACCATGGAGTCAAGCCCCGATAAAGTTGCATGAGGTTGTTGTTGATAGAAGTACAGGGATGGTTAGTCTCTCATAAAGGGCTACTGAGTCTCTAAATCTTCTCCTGCCCCTGATTTCCACATCCCTACTTTCACGTATCTTTCATCTTTGGAGTTCTTTCAACCTCATGATTTCAATTATTCAGCTTGCTGCTATCTCCCCCAAATCTCTCTTTGGTTCTGGTACTGTCTAAGGCCCTACTGGCCATTTCACTTTGCCAGAGTTTAACTCTAGTCCCCATCTTTCACAATTTAACATCTCAGCTGAAGCTGAACCGAGTACACAAACTAATTGTAGCCTCTTGTTCAATGATGAGCATCATCATCTTCCTTCTTCCTCTTTAGTCACGTATTTGTCAAATTCATCAAAATATAGAGTGTTTTTATTTTATGTATGTAAATTATACCTCAATAAAACTGACTTTAAAAAGTTGGGTGAATGATACCATTTTCACAGTTGGAGTCAACACTATCCTTTTATCATCCAGGTCTCCAAACTCCTCCCCTTGTCTTACCCTCCACATTCTGACATCATGAAGTCCTGTTACAACTTCCTTCCAGTGGCTATCGAAACTCATTATTCCCTCTCCAATTCTCTACTCTAACCCCAACCCCTCAGCCCTAAATTACTACAACATCATCTGCAGTCCCTACTTCTAGTGTCTCCTTGTTCTAGCTGTCCTATTTTCCCCTAACGTGAACTCTGGGTGATATACTCAACTAATGGATCAATGAACATATCAAAACCTAATCATGTGCTGTACCTTGGCTAGTTGAATTTAAGTTAAAAAAATGCTGTTTTGCAGGGTGCTTGGGTGACTCAGCTGGTTAAATGTCTGACTCTTGGTTTTAGCTCAGCTCATGATCTTAGGGTTGTCAGATGGAGCCCTGCATCAGGTTCTGCACTAGGTGTGGATCCTGCTTAAGATTCTCTTTCTCCCTCTCCCTTTGCCCCTTCCCACCCACTCACAAGCTCTCACTCTTGCTCTCTTTCTCTCTCTTAAAAAAAAAAAAAAAAAAAAGGCTACTTTGCTCATACTGCATCTCTGCTCATGAGCCTATGGGGTTTTTTATTGTCTTTAATAAGATTTATTCAATGCCGAGTAAATGCCAAGCAGTATCCTACATGTGTTACACATTATTTCATCAGCTCAATGAAACAGATGCTATTATCACTCCCGTTTTACGGATAAGAAAATGCGAGCTCACAAAAATTGGTCTAAAAACACAATGCTGGGGCACCTGGGTGGCTTAGTGGGTTAAAGCCTCTGCCTTCGGCTCAGGTCATGATCCCAGGGTCCTGGGATCAAGCCCTGCATCTGGCTCTCTGCTCCGCAGGGAGTCTGCTTCCTCCTCTCTCTCTCTGCCTGCCTCTCTGCCTACTTGTGATCTCTGTCTGTCAAATAAATAAATAAAAATCTTAAAAAAATTTTTTTTTAAAATAAATAAATAAAAATAAAAACACAATGCTGATTAGGTTGTGAAAATGAGATTTGAAACCAGGTTAACATTATTTCTCTGTCTTAAAGCAGTTTTTCAATCCTTTTGTGTTTGTTGTAAACATTAGCAGAACTCCCCTTTCAAGAGAAATCTCATCTAGAACCCCATATAAAATTGATAAAAGCAGAACTGACTTAACTGGCACCAGGTGAAAGTCCTGGAGCCCAGCAACCCTCTCCCCCTACCTGGCTATTCCCTTTTCACTTAGCTCCTGAGATACCTCTGTTTGAAAACCTCTGCCCCACCTCATACCATGCCTCTTGTGAAACCGATATACTTTTCACAGGTATTTGCCTCCCCCCAACCCCCCACCAAAACCCCTCAGAGCTGGGATTCTTCAAGAACTTGGACCATACTCCCCCAAATTAGGCTTGCTGAGTGCTACTGGAGAGGGGACAAGTGACTTCCTAACTGGCCTGAAAGGGTAAGGCCCAGGCTACAGCCCCAAGCTTGACCCAGTGTGGGCAAGAGGCAGCCATTGCTCTGGGGCAGAATTACAGAATGTACATGTACAGTTTGTGGCTGTCTCCAACTTAAAACAGATCTTCAAGGTTTCTTTCAACCTCAGCTTCTAAACCTCAAAAGTTTAAGTCTGAGGGTTACCCATTTTCCCTGCCACTCCACCAAAATAACAGATCCAGACTCTGATTTGTCCTTACCCCAGGCTGCTCCCTTTCCTTTTAAGTCCACTTGCACAGACTGAGGAGGCAAACTAACATATATAAAAACAACAGGAAAGGCAGCTAAATGAGTGAACACAGAAGGGTACAAATGGGAAGGTAGTATACAGGCAGACAGTGATATCTTTGTCAACCAAAGCAGGAAATGGATAAAAGAATAAGCTAAATAAACAAGATGAATAATAATTTGTCCATGACACTGCTTTATAGGAGAAAGGAGGGAAGAAGTATCTTTCTGGCTCTGTCATACCAATCCAGAACAGCTTTTAAGGAAAGCCAGGCCAGGCAGTCTCTAATAAGAGAAAATAATCTTATCTATGTATTTAAGGTTCTGTGATTCTTTAAAACTGTAAAGATAAACTTCACAAGACCATTCATACTCCAGAAAGTGGGCCACTTGACAATACCCAGTATGGGATGAGTTGATCTTTGGGTGAGGAAAAGTCTTAAACAGGCACTTGGTCTAAAGCTGGAAGGGGAAATTCACATCCACATAGCCATTTCCATTATTACTTTGGCTGAACCTTTGCCTACCTAAGGACTCCTGACATGACTTAGAATCCCTCTAGTTTCTCACCATACCATTCACCCAGAACTTACAATTGTCTGGGAGAGGAAAGGGACAGCAAAAAAGGTGCTTGGGCTAACGGCCTATAGCCCACTACCTTTGGCGTACCCTTACCCTCCAGTGCATATTTCATGTCTTGGGCAAAGAGCTGCCACATCACTTCCGCGCTGACTTTTCCCACATTCAACTCCTGAGGAAACCTGGATGATGGAAGAAGCCACGGTCAGAGAACAAAGCAAGAGCTATTTGATTTGACTGATTCCAAAACTTATGTGCCTAATCTCTTGGAAGTCAGATTGAAGAAAGGAGAAGCCTAGGAAATAGGACTGGGCTCAATCTGGAGAAAAGGGATCCAGGAGCCAGTGGAAGGACAAGTGGGGTAAAGGATTCCCTCAGGCAAGGTGGTCCAGGGAAGAGGATGCCCAGAAGGCAGGGACTTGAGGCCCAGAGAAGGGTTGGAGCTAGAAGGCAGGCCCAGGCTAAAGAAGGTGGACGAGAAAGTTCAAGGAGTGGGCCTAAGAAAGCCCATTATTCACAGTGGACAAACACATACACACATGGTCTCTGGATCCCCTGGGACTCCTATGGCAGCCATTCCCAGGGGACTTTCACTCCAGGGAGGCTGGCTCAGTCTGGACAGGGCCCCCCATTATGTTTCCACACCTGTCTCCAGAAACAGTTACTCAGATAGATACAAGGGACAGAGGGACAGACGGACGTACAGGAAGAAGAGGTGGCACTGCAAACACACAGAGATAGGAAAGAAAGAGGCTGTTAGACAGATGGACATGCCAACCACCAACCACACAGGGCCAAGTGGGTTGATACGCACTGGTTCAGAACGAGTGTGTAGGAATTCTTATCTTCCTCTATGATTGACACAATGAGCGTGATGAGTTTGGGCCAAAAATCCAGGTTCCGAATGCTGGGTCCTTGTTCCTCTGGAGGCAGTTCCTGTTTCTTGTTCCAGAGGAGACAGTGAGAGTCAGAGTAGAATACGGAGAATGTTTCCAATCTTCTTTCTCTTTCCGTCCCCATACCCCTTCCTTTAGAATCAGGTACCCTTCTTCTCCTAGAGCCTGTCTTCCACAAGACTGCCCATGTTCTGTCAGAGGGGTGACTGTTGGGAGGTCCTTATACACAAAGAGTCCATTCCAGAGAACTTCTCTCCCCACCTCCAAGGAACTAATATGATACGCTTGGTCGGTCTAGGAGACGTAAGGATGCCTGACCCCCTTCCTCATTCTCTCAATAGCTATGAGTATAGTGACTCCTCAGGCAAAGTAAGTTGCCCCTCCAGCCTCACTAAATAGGTCTAGTTCCATGTGACCCCACTGGCAGTCTCCTCTGACACCTCCCCTAAATTATCACACACATACATATACATCTCAGCTCTGAGAAGCTCCTTCAAGTTCTGCAGGAGCTACTGCAAAGACCTAGCATGCAAGTGGGTCCAACCTTCAGTGGGTTAAGGACTTCCCTTAACCTCATGAATGCTATTAGGAAGAAGAACTGTATCTAGGAAGCTATTTGCCTAGTTGTATAAGATAAGGTCTTGATGAGCCAAGAATACTCAATGCGGATATGAGATAAGATAGTCTCTTCAATAAATGGTGTTGGGATAACTAGATACTCACATGCAAAAGAATGAGCCTGGACCCCTTTCTTATACTTCTCACAAAAACTAATTCAAAATAGATTAAGGGCTTAATAAAACATAAAACATAAAACTCCCAGAAGAGAACATAGGGAAAAAGTGCCTTGACAATGGTCTTGGCAATGATTTTTTGGATATGATACCAAAGTACACACATCAAAAGCAAAAACCAACAAGTGGAACTACATCAAACTAAAAAGTTTCTGTAGAGCAAAAGAAACAATCAACAAAATGAAAAGGCAACCTACAAAATGGGAGGAAACATCTGCTAACCTTATATCTGGTAAGGGATTAATATCCAAAATATAAGTAATTTGCATAACTTAATAGCAAGCAAAAAAATCTGATTAAAAAATAGGTAGAAGACTTGAATAGACCTTTCTCCAAAGAAGACATACAAATGTCCAGCAGCAAGAGGTGCCTGGGTGGCTCATTCGGCTAAATCTGAGCTCCGCTCAGGCCATGATCTCAGGGTCCTGTGATCAAACCCTGAATGGGGCTCCCTGCTCAAATAAATAAACAACAAAGAATGCCCAGCAAGTACATGAAGAAGTGTTTAATATCACTAAACATCAGGAAAATGCAAATAAAAACCACAAAGAGATATCATCTCACATCTGTTAGAATAAATATTTTCAGAAAAGTAAGAGATGACAAATACTGGCCAGGATATAGAGAAAAGGGAATCCTAACACACTGCTTGCAGGAAATGTAAATTGGTAGAGCACTATGGAAAATAGTATGGAGGTTCCGCAAAAAATTAAAAAGAAAACTATCATATAATCCAGCCATCCTACTTCCAGGTATATATTCAAAGAGAATGAAATAACTATCTCTAAAATTTACTGATACCTCCACATTTATTGTAGCATTATGCATAAAAGCCAAGACATGGAAACAACCTAAGTGTACACCAGTGAATGAATGGATAAAGAAAATGTGGTATATAAATATAATGAATTATTACTCAGCAATGAAAAAGGAGGAAAGCCTTCTTTTTGTGGTAACATGATGGACATTGAGGGCAGTATGCTAAATTAAGTAAGTCAGACAGAAAGAGACAAATACAGTATGATCTTCCTTATACATAAAATCTAAAAACACCAAACACATAAAAAGAGTGGAGTGGTGTTTGGCAGGAGATAGGGACAGGGGAAATAGTGAGATGCTGGTCAAGAGGTACAAACTTTCAGTTCAGATGAATAAGTTCTGGGGATCTAAGGTACAGCATGGTTGACTATAGCTAAAATACTGTATTATATACTGGAAAGATCAATATGAGAGCAGAGCTTTAATGTTCTCACCGTAACAACAAAAAATGATAATTATGTGAGGTGCAGGCTTTACTGTGGTAAACATCTCACAGCATGCACTTGTATCAAATCATCACATTGCACACCTTAAGCTTACACAATGTTATACATCAATTATATCCTAGTAAAGCTGGGGGAAGAAAAAAGACTTGGTCGGGAAGAGGTAAAGGAATACAGTGGTGAATCTCAGAAAAAGAGAAGCAACTCTACATTCAGACCCTGGACAGGACAAGGAGGGGTCACTGCTGGAATGGACATTTGTTTCCCACTGGGACAAAAGCGAAGTTGGAACCACACAGAAGAAGAGGGATAGGACTTTTATGTGGGATGCCATATGTCATCACAGTCTCTACAGTCCTTAATAAGCCTGTATTACATGGAAGTTACTAGAAACCAGGACAGAACCCACAGAATGTAGATTCTGCCTGCTTAATATCACTTAAATACATCTTTTCCTTTAACTTTTTCTGCCACTACCCTATCCTTATCATTCAAGGGTTTCCTAACTGGTTTTTAATCTTCATTCCAGTCCCCTTCCACATAGTTGTTAGTGATCTTTCGCAAAGAGAATCTCATAGTGTGACTCTTCTGCCCTTCAATGGTCTTCAGTTAAGGCCTTCAGTAAACTTCAATTCCACTGCTTGACACAAAAGGCCTTCAGTATATGATCTGTCAACCCCACACCTTACCAATTCCCTTTCCTCACAGCCATCACTGCCCCCCTACCACCACTTATTTAGTGCTTATTAGGTGCCAGGCACCCTAAGAACTTTATGTGGGTTATCTCATTTAATCCTCCTAACTGCTCCATTGGGTGGAAATTACCATCATCTTAATTTTACAGAAGAGGAGACTGAAGGCAGTGAGGTTACATGACTTGCCCAAGGTCTTATAGCTATAAACAGTAGAACCAAGAACTGATCCCAGATAGCTGAACTCCAAAGCCTGACATGTAACTACCCTAATTATATTGTTTATATTTCTTCAAATAACATACTCATTCAAAATTCTGTGCCTCCAAACATTCTACTACCTCTATATGGCATCCCTCTCTTCCCCAACCCCTTTCATTAGCCAATTCCTACTCATTCCTCAAAATTCCAGTTGAGCTTTACTTTTTTTTTGAGTATTCCCTGATACCCCTGGTCTGCTTAGATGCCTCCCCTGTTAAGTTCCCAGAACACGCTCTATGAACCTTTGGCAACTACAATAAAATGCAGTAACAATAAATAATAAAAAAGACAATAAAGTAAATTAAAAAACCCCAATAAATCTAGTAATTTGTCCCACCTACCTCCACTAAATGATGAGCTCGCCAAAAAGAGAGATGTGTCTTGATCAACTTTACATCCCTACATGTTCAGTTTGTTAAGGGATTAAATGGATGAATGAACCAATGACTGAGTGATTGAAAGAAATAAAAAGACACCAATGGTTTACCTCACTGTAAATAATGAATAATGAGAAAATGAGAGTGAAAAAAGTAAAAAACTGTTGGCAAAATTCAGAAGTTAAAAAAAGTGCCTGAATGGTTTATAAGCCCTCTTTCAAAGTCCAGGCTCATCTCATGCTAGGGAGCAGAGACTAAATATTCAGAAAGACCCCTGCATAGTTGAAAAATCAAAGCTGAGAACAGTGTCTTCTCCAACCAAAGAGAATCTACAGATAGATGACAGAGGAGCCCAGAGTGTGGTAAGTTAAACAAAGGCCCCAGGAAAACCTCCCATGAGCTTCAGAACCAAGGGGAGGTTTTATAAAACTTAAAAGGAGGAAGCCTTAAAGATAGGGCTGGTGGGGCGCCTGGGTGGCTCAGTGGGTTAAAGCCTCTGCCTTCAGCTCAGGTCATGATCTCAGGGTCCTGGGATCGAGCCCCGCATCGGGCTCTCTGCTCAGCGGGGAGCCTGCTTTCTCCTCTCTCTCTCTCTCTCTGCCTGCTTCTCTGACTACTTGTAATCTCTATCAAATAAATAAAATATTTAAAAAAAAATAAAAAAATTTAAAAAAAGATAGGGCTGGCACAAAGAGTATGTTTGGGAATGGGAAGAGGCAGTGTGAACAAGATTTTAGTCTCTACTGAGGTACTCCTAGGAAGCATTAAAAATTAAATGTAGGGGCGCCTGGGTGGCTCAGTGGGTTAAGCCGCTGCCTTCGGCTCAGGTCATGATCTCAGAGTCCTGGGATCGAGCCCCGCATCGGGCTCTCTGCTCTCTAGGGGAGCCTGCTTCCTCCTCTCTCTCTGCCTGCCTCTCTGCCTGCTTGTGATCTCTCTGTCAAATAAATAAATAAATAAATAAAATCTTTAAAAAAAAAAAAAAAGTAAATGTATTCGTCAAAGGGCAAATGTTCAAGAGATTTAAGTTGTCCTCTCATTATTTGCAGTCCAAATCCTACTATCTTTTAAGGTTTACGTAAAATGCCCTTGTTTTAGTAGCTTTTCCCAATACCTGATCAAGAGTGACTTCTTCCTTCTTGGAATCCCTTCAATTTTATTCAGCTTTCAAGGCACTTCTCACAGACTGCTTTGATTAGAATTATATATATGCTTACGAACTGTGAACTAACTGAAGGAGCTCTATGCTTTCCTCATACCTGACTCATTCAATACATATTTGTTGGACTAAAGGGCATATATTTTGCAAGTGCATGGTCTGCAAGAATTATTTCGACAGAAACTGTAATCTAGTAACAAGACCCAAAAAGAAGTCCTGGCTTTGAAATGAGAATAAAAGATACTATTGAAAGGATCTTGAGAAACAAACACGGTTACCAGGTAGTAAGTTAGGATGTCAGCATAGAACAGATGATGTAGCTCAGCCTCAAAGACAGAGAAGAGACAGCCTTGACAGTCAGCTGATGAATATATCTCAGAAGACCAGGTAGTGCAGAGAGAAGCATCAGAGGTAAAATTTTAATTTCCACAAGCCGGTAGTTCAGAGAGACAACTACAGATCTCAGAGGAAAGCAGCCTGTAACAAATTAAGCTTGGGAGAGAAAAAAGACTCTAGGATGGACCGAGAATTCACCTACTCACCCTCTAAAACTGCCCAAGTTTTGGTCACTTACTTTAGCACCAAACTAAAACTTACTGTTGCCACTTCTGCTCAACTCAGTTATGTCACATCTCATCCAATGGTCCCTATTAACCCACAAATGTCTCACATGATTTAGAAGGTCCTCACTCTACACTTTACTCATCCTCAAGAACAACAAGGACTTTGGCCTGAGCTCCTTTCCACCATAACCACAGTAAAGGAAAACTGAGGATCCAAGAGCCACTGACAGTGGATCCCACCTGATCCTGTACCAGCTGGTACTGGCGACTGTACAAGTCATGGCAGTTGTTGAAGATATACTCATATGTGGAGTTCAAACAGGCCTTCACACAGTCCTTTACCACTTGGCTGGCTCTTGGAGGGCTCTGAAGTTCTTGCACCTGCCAATTAATAAAAGAAATATGGGCCCATGGTCCTCCCCACCTGAGTTGATCTTCTCCTAGAATTCCCCTCAAACTACTCCATTGCATCATCTCTCGAGGGTCCCTGGACCGTACCCTAGGATGAAATTGCTAGGATATCTGATTAGGAGAACCATGCAGCCCATCCCTATTCATCTACAGTCTTCTCAGAGGTAACCCAGAGAACAGGTGTATGGAAATGTGGGCTTAGAGGTGATGAATACTATAGCTTAAGATTGTACCCAATGATTCTTATTCTTCGTGTTCCTGTGGCCAGGTGCCCTGTCCATCGCCATCTAGCCCAGTTTCTCTCTTACCTTCATTCTGAAGAAAGTAATGCTGGTCAGCAAATCCACTGTTGACTTTAAGTCCTGAAGCCGCTCAGGGCTTCCAGCAGGGAAATTATTCTGTTGCAAATTAAGCAAATTTAAGAAAGGAAAAGAGAAATATGAAAGCCTTCCCTGCCAAAAGCAATGAAATAAAAAGCTTCCTTAACTGCTACCCACTGGTATTTTCCCCAGGTGAGCTGAACTAAAAAGCTGTTAAACTAAGGTCTCCCTCTTTTTTCTACTGACACAGACAGGCCCTTGCCAAACACAGGGGTTAATAATCCCCAGCCCAGCAAGCAATGCCTCCTATGCCAACCCTACTTCCCATGCAATGTGTGAGCATTTGTACAAATGGACACACAGACACACAGACACATATATTTTATACACACATTTTTCTTGGGTGAAGATTCTTACACTTTAACAGTGAATTCTTCGAAAGTTACAATGTAACTATATATTCTGGAATATAAATGGAGCCACACTACGGACCAGACTAAGATCAAGGGTATATACTTTCTATACAAGGGACCCCAGCTAATCCACTTTCCTTCCAGAGCCAGAAGATGGCACAGCTCTGAGCAGAACTGTTTTGGAGTGAGTTCTTTAAGACCTTCCCACCATGCCTCACTTCATTCCCCTTGGCATGGGTTTTAGGAGGAAGCTGCCAAGGAGAGCTGAAGGGAGATGTTGAGCCACTCTCCATTTTAAGGGTTGCTTTTTTAAACGCTCAAATGGCTACTTATATGCCAAATATAAGATACATAGTCAACTCTCCATTATTCATGCAAATGGAGGGCACTGAAATTGCAGATAATTAAAACTCCACTTCTTTTTGACTTTGAGGTTATTTTTATACTTACTTTTTAATGTGGGTATATTGCCTGTTCTGGAAATTCACAACAGTTTAAAGCAAGTAACAAAGCCATTCTAAGAAGATCTAACTTAGGAAGAATTGGGAAACTGCCCGTTTTCGTGTCCTTCCCTGTTCCTGGTATCCACCCTCCTAATATATCTATTTTCTCCTTCCATTCTAGGAATGGACATGACCCCCGCTACAAATCACTTGTTGAAGCCAAGCTATCTTTTCTCTCCCTTTAGCCAGATTCTCATACCTCCCTTGAAAAATAAGGAGAATATGAAAAATACAAAAAAGAAATATAGGTATCTAATTTTTAAAGGGGCATTTCTGGAAGAGATATCCACCCTAATGAGAATGTCATCAGAGAGTCTGACAGAGTGACATCAGTATGGTTGGAGAGCCAACTGCCTGTAAAAAAAAATGCCACACCTGCTATTTACAACAGCATGGTCTTTGGAGTTTGGAGAATCACTGGCCCTGTATGTAGGTGTGATGACAGGGACCAATTTTCCTTGCCTTTAATCTTTAGAGCCAAGATTGGACTATGGTTTCTTTAGACAGAGCTTGATATTATCTGTTATTCCATCTCACAGTCCTGTCTTCACTCACCCTGTAGGTAGAGAGGTCAATCCTCAGTGAGTTGTGCAACTGGTCCAGTAGTTTCACAAATCTCTCTTTCTGAAGGTAGGAAACAAATAACAGGGAAGAGAGAAATAATCTGAGTTCCCTAGACTGTAGCAGAAACAGAACCATCTCTGGGTGAGGAGGAGACATTGGTTTAGGGACACATCCTATCTCATCCCTGCCCATGAGAAGAAAGAACAATGTAACAGAGGACTGGGATAGGTGGCCCCTGTTCCATCTCTTAGCGGTTCTGTCTCAAACTGGGGAATCTTTTCACACTGGCAAGGGGACAGGAAGTCCCCAGGAGAGAAACTGCTCTTTCTATATAAGAGTCAACGGGAGATGACTCATGCATCTCCATTCCTTTGGGACTCTAACTTCTCTTAGTCAAATAAGAGGAAACTCAAAACACATTCTCCAACTTGTTCCTGAGTCTGTGGTCTCCTGACTTACCTTCAGGCAGCTCTTAACAGTTAAATAGCCACTGTCTACCAGTAATGATAAGAGGGAGAAACAGTGATTCATTTGGAAGGTGATCAAGCAGACCTGAGAGCATTTCTCTTTCAACCATGTTCCACATCTTTTTCCTTAGTTTATACTTTTTTAATGTTAAGATAAATAACATGACACTATTTTTATTTTATTATTATTTTTCACTTAACATATAATGTATTACTTGTTTTAGGGGTACAGGTCCGTGATTCATCAGTCTTACATAACACCCACACTCACCACACTATTTTGATAGTTGATTTTTATAGAAAAGGTATAATTAAATGTGGGGAATCACATGCCTATAGGCTGTTGGTATAGCACTCCTGGAATTCATATACTGATTATATGACAGATCATTAGGTCTTACGTAAATATATAAAATGGGATGAGATAATGAAACACATATTTGAGTGGCTTAATCAATGATGTTAATTCATCTACATAAAGACTCTATCAAAATAAGGGAAGGTGGTTACTCCCAAAAAACAGGGCTCAGAGACCCAGTAGATTTGGGAGTATCAGCAGTGTTATTCCTAAAGAGGTAATCTTTGTGGCTGGTCAAAGATATTTCATCTGGTTTACACTGAACTTATGTCAGGTGACATTCTGAACAAAGATTCAACTTCTCAAGTAACTTAAAACCAGGAAAGGGCATATCCTGGATAGGAAAAACAGTCCAAACACTAGAAAAGGGATAGGCTCAGGAATATACTGGTATCTTCACTTAGACATCAGTCTCATATGAGCGTGAGTGGATAAGAGTCAGAGAGAAACAATATAAGGTTAAGGAAAGTCTACTTGTGGACTTGCAGAACTAAGGAACATGATGACTCAACCAAGTTCTTGGCCTAGAGAGGTTCTGCCTGAGCCGAGGTGGTACCTCTGAAACCATAATGATGCTATTCCACTTTCTCTCATTTATCCATGTCTAAGGAGAGTCCATTAGTAAGTCTATCTATCCATAATGAAATAAGGAAGAGTCTACTAGCATGGTCTACACATCCATAAGGAAACAAGTACATCTATCTAAGTGGCAGCTCTCTGAATTTTAGGCATATAAAATAACTCTATAGTACCTACTGGGAAAAATCAAATTTTATTAACTGATAACAAATGAGTAGGTATGTTTTTACATCACACTCACCCCAAAGTTGGAGGCTGCAAAGCGATCAGATGCAGAAACATTGGTGGAGGCAGTTGTGTGGGCATAATAAGCATTGATGTTGGCCAGTAAGGTGCTCATCACTGCAGGCACACCAGGACACATGTACTTGGATGACAAACATGCAAAGTGCCTGAAAAATAGCATCCTCAGCCTCAAAGACTCTTCAGAGCTTGCAGCAAAAACCAAGTAATTAAAAGAGCTCATTGGTGTATATGAAGCTTCCAATAACCTTGGCATACAAGGATCTTCATAATTGATTCACTCAAATATACATTAGTGAACGCCTACCATGTGCCAGGGCCTGTGCTATGTGCTAGAATCCAAAGATGTGATAGTCTGGTAGAGAAAGCAAGTGTTAGAAAGTCAATAAGCCAAGGCATGCTAGGCAAAACCTAGAAGTAGAAACACACAAGAAGATCACCTCAACCAGAATGGTTGCGGGCTGGAAGGGATTAGAATAAGTCTTCTCAAAGAAGAGTTGATTGAACCAAGACTTAAAGGATTAGTAGGAATTAGTCAAATGGAGAAGTGTGCAGGCAAAGGAAAACTGCATTGCAAAAGACAAATATATATCAGAGAGACTGATTCATTTGGGAAACCTCAGTTATGGCCACTGTTCAGGTATTTGATAGAGGAATACCAAGAAATGAGAGAGGAGAAGTAAGCATAAAATAGTTAACAGAACTATTTCATAGATAGATATAGATAAAGATATTTTATATTTTACAGATAAACAGGAGAGTTTATCCTCCATATGGTAAATTTTTTTTAAAAGATTTTACTTATTTGACAGAGAGAGGGAGATCACAAGTAGGCAGAGAGGCAGGCAGAGAGAGGGGGGAAGCAGGGTCTTTGCTGAGCAGAGAGCCCGATGTGGGGCTTGATCCCAGGACCCTGAGATCATGACCTGAGCTGAAGGCGGAGGCTTAACCCATTGAGACACCCAGGCGCCCCACCATGGTAAATTTTAACATGAAGGCACAATGTGATCAGACTCGTTTTTCAGAAAGCTCTCTTTGATGATAAATTGGAAAAGAAGGCTTGGAGAGAGATGAGACAAGGACAGAAAGAGCAGTTGCAGAGTTAACAATAATCATTCAAAAAAGAAGCAATGAAGCACTAAATGGAACAGAGAAATGGTTAAGAATACTGATTCTACAGCAAGGTTGTGTTTGAATCTCAGCTCCACTATTTACTCAGTGACTTTGGATAAATTTCTTAAGCTTCTCTATGCCTGTTTTCATACCTGTAAAATGAGAAAGATAGTGATACTCCCTCACACGGTTAATATGAGAATTAAATGAGTTAAAATTCATAAAGTGCTTAGACCAGTGCCTGGGATATAAGGAAATGCACAAGGGAGTTGTTATTGTTATCATTATTATTGTGCTATAGTAAAAGTGATGGGTTAAAAACATTTTAAGGAGATACGAATCCAGGTTTCAGAGTTTGGATGTTGGGAGTTAAAGGGGCAGTAGTAATTATGAAAGAAAAGTTTAGGCTGACTCCTAAATTTGTGTGAACACCTGCCTAGAAAATTATTCCACTTACTAAAATAGGAAATATAGGAAGATATCATATATTTGGTGGAGATGATGTTGATTTGGAATTTAGCCATACTGAGGAAGCAGCTGACAATGGATCTGAAATTCAGGAAAAGGTGTGATCTGGAAAAAGAAATTGGGAGTCCCTAGACCATAAGTAGTGGTTAAGGTCATAGGTTTGGATGAAATCATAGAGGAAGAATGAACAGAGTAAGAATTGTAGGGAGGCATTCTCAAAGCTCATTCCTCACCATATTTCTTCACTCCATCTATAACGAACTTCTTGTAATTCCTTGAACAGTCTATGGTCGACTGCATCTCAACACCCTAGCACATGCCTTACTGGAAATGCTCCTGTACCTTTCCTGTATTTCAAGACTCAGTTCAAGTGTCAAGTCTTTAATGGCTTCCCTCACATGCCTCCCCTAAAATTTTTTTTTTTTAAAGATTTTATTTATTTATTTGACAGAGAGAGAGCTCACAAGTAGACAGAGAGGCAGGCAGAGAGAGAGGAGGGGAAGCAGGCTCCCTGCTGAGCAGAGAGCCCGATGCGGGGCTCGATCCCAGGACCCTGGGATCATGACCTGAGCCGAAGGCAGAGGCCTTAACCCACCGAGCCACCCAGGCGCCCCTCCCCTAAAATTTTGATGCTCTCATAATACCCTGTTATTACTTCTACCATATTATATTGTAATTGTTTGTTTAATGGTCTCTCTTTCCTACTAGACTCAATTCCCCAAGCATAGAGGTCCCATCTTATTCATCTTTGTATTCTCAGCACCTAGCACAACATGTGACACCTAAAAGGAACTTGATAAAAGTTTTTAGAATAAATGAAGCACATCCAGGGCAATAGTTACCCTCTGTTTACCTGGGGCTGCTTCCTGAGCACAGCTCTAGTGGCAGTCTTGCCAATATACAAACAAAACCTCTTCTCATAGTAGGCAAAAATTTCCAGCATAGGAGTCTTGGTCAACTCCAGACACAGTGGCTTTCCCTATAGTTTAATGACCTCTCTGATATCCAGGCCAATCTATGAAAGCTTGTCCGTCACACACATATACATAAGAACACATGTGGTATCTCCTCAGGCCTGTGATGATTAGGCAACTTTGTCCAGGCATATCCTCTTATGTCCTTTGCCCTTCTTATCTCTGAACTGTCGGGGAGACAGATAAATACCTTCTCCCTGAATTCCTGATAAACATACTCCCTTTTTACATATATTTTCTTTGCCTTGGGGGCAAAGACCCAACTCACCTCAGCTCAGGAAGGAGATCAACAAATCACTGCATACTACCCCACTAAGGACCTGTTCACCCTTCATTAGCCTCCCCGAGAGTTAGCAGCCACTTCCCAAAGCCCCAGGAGAGCCTCACGTCATGGCCTGATATATGGACTCGATGCCATAGCGCATGGCAAATTCATCCACAATTTCTTGGGCAGTCTCATCAAAGTACACCTTCCATGCATCGTCTCCTCGAGCCTCAGGGATCAGGACTCCTCCACTACCCTGAATGTCTGTGAGGTAATGGAAAAGGTTCTGCAGGAGAGAGAGCAAAGGAAAGAGTTAAATACGTATTAAAAACAAAACCAAAAACTGGTGGTAAAGTCCAGGAGAATGTGAATAGGGTTCCAAAGAAATTCTGTCTTTCAAGTCATTACTAATTTCTCATGTGGCCCCAGTAGGCTGCTCTTACATTAGTGAAAGAAAACTAAGGCTGGGACTATTACTTGGGCCATCTGGGGTAGCACAGTGAATAAAAAAGAGGGCTCAGATCTTCAACCACCCAGCAATCCCATTTACTGTCAAGGGCCCTTCCCAGCACAGCTTTCTGATACCCCACCTACAAAGGACTGGCTCACCTCATGGAGACACGTATACTGCACATGATATGGTGCTACCTTCTCCTCCCCCTTGATCTCCACACTGATTTGTAGTCGGATAGCCCCTGAGACAGCTGATTTATCTGTCCTCTTCTCTAGGAATAAAAGAAGATGGAGATTGACACCACTGCAACTACAGAGAACACAGACATCCCCCATCCCAGCTTAACCCAAGGAAAAAGAGGACTGATCCAATCAAAGGTTCACGTAATAGGGTGAACTTACTCCAGCAACCACATTGTCTACAAATACCCCAAATATTCCCCCATAGAAATTCTCTTATGCCATTAAGAGAACCGGGAGCTAAAGCCATTAGAGGTGAGCATGAGGATTAAAGGGCCTTCTGGAATCTGAAGAATGTCCAGCCAGAGTGAGTGCCAGCCACTTCCACACTTCCGTCCCCCATCTCTACTCATGATCAGTTCTCTGCAGGTAAGGCAGACTCTGTATAGAGGAATGCTTTAGGGACTGAATGTTGGTTTTAGTAGATAGGCTTTTCCCTAGATTTTTCACTCATGCTGTCCCTTCTCAGCAACTTTCTCTGGTCTTATTTCCTTACCCAAGTTGTACCAGACATCCATCTCGCCACTCAGTGTCCGAACCTCTATAATGGTTTGGCCAAGGAAATCATCGGATTCTCGTTTCAGCCGCTGCTTTACTCTTGACTTGATGTCATCATCCTCATCCCATACACGTACCTTAATGCGGTCAGAAGAGTTGTGGCACTCGCTGTGAGAGAAATAGGCAAAACCTGTTAGGGACCAACCAAGCAGCACCCATTCCTAGTACTTCCAATTTCCTCCCAAAACTCCATCAACTGTACTTGAGGCCCTGCAAAGGAAGAAAAGGAGTCAGGGAACGTGGTACTAAAGTTCCAAGTGAGTCAAACTATCCTAGTCAGCCTGGAAGGCTGTACATACCATTATCCAGTCCTTATTCCCTTGACACAAAGAAGGGTGAGAGGGGAAGAATAATTAGGGACAATTCTGATTTCCTGTGCAGCTAGCTGTTATCAACAACATCAACAGGTGGACAAATGTCACAGATCCCTAGGAAGCAATTGCTACTTCCCTTCCCAGAGTCAGTAAAGGTGCTAATGTTCATGATATGTCCATCTGGTCATATCTGCTTAGCTTTCCATCCAGCTACCCCATCTATCTAAGTATGTGCTTGCTGAACTTCAATTACAGTTGAATTGTCATTTTTCTCCATGATGTTTCCTTTGGAAAAGGTAGTTTGGCCAGGTACCCTCCCATGTTCTCCTTCCCTCACAGGAGCTTACTGGGTCCTACTGCCTCATACTTGTACTTGATAGAATTTGCTGCTTTCCCCCCTCTGTATTCTCATAATATCTTTGCACATTTCATTAAAATACTATAGTATAACCGCTGGTCTACTGAAAAATAAACATATCAACAAAGAGCTTCTCGGAAGCAGGAATTGTCTTACATATTTCATTTTTTAAGATTTTATTTATTTATTAGAAAGACAGAGAGAGAGAACAAGCAGGAGGAGGGAGAGGCAGAGAGGGAGAAGCAGACTCCCCGCTGAGCAGGGAGCCAGAAATGGGGCTCAATCCCAGGACCCTGGAATCATGACCTGATCTGAAGGCAGATGCTTAACCAATGAGCCACCCAGGTGCCCCATGTCTTATACATTTTAGACACACAATATCATCTACAGTGTTGTGTATAGAATAGGGGCTTAAGAATGTATTTGCTAATATGATCTCCCTGATATGAGAAAGTTGAGAGGCAAAGTGGGGGGTTTGGGGGGTAGGAAAAGAATAAATGAAACAAGATGGGATCGGGAGGGAGACAAACCCTAAGAGAGACTCTTTTTTTTTTAATTTTTTTTTTTTTTTATTTGACAGAGAGAGAGATCACAAGTAGGCAGAGGGGGAGGGGGGGGGGGGGGGGGGAAGCAGGCTCCCTGCTGAGCAGAGAGCCCGACACAGGGCTTGATCCCAGGACCCTGGGATCATGACCTGAGCCGAAGGCAGAGGATTAACCCACCTAGCCACCCAGGTGCCCCCTAAGAGACTCTTAATCTCACAAAACAAATTGGGGGTTGCTGGGGGGAGGGGAGGAGGGAGAGGGTGGTGGGGTTATGGACATTGGGGAAGGTATGTGCTATGGTGAGTACTGTGAAGTGTGCAAACCTGGCGATTCACACACCTGTACCCCTGGGGCTAATAATACATTATATGCTAATAAAAAAATTTAAAAAAGAATGTATTTACTAAATGGATAAAAGCAGCAAAATGACTATACAGTCAGTTTATTTAGAATTAATTTAGAATAAACTGAATTCAAGCAGGAACCACTCAGATTCTCAAAGAAATAGGTGCTCCCCCCAGTAACTATTACCTCTGGACTGGAAGCCAATTGTACTAGGCCCCAATCCCTCACATGAGTTCTCTCAGGAGCCAATAGAAGAAGGTCTCTACATAACCAGCCTGCTTAGCTAATTCAGACTCTTAAGTCCTGGTCCTTGGCCATAGGGGTGTGACAAAGCATCCAGATTCTCCAAACATTATTCCATGTCCTAGATTAGAGCTTGCAATTTTTCAACAACCATCCCTAACTATCTTAAGAAATAGTCTATAAGAAAGTGACAATGGGAAAAGGAATAGGGGTAGGAGCTGAGGCAGGAAAAAAGCAGGGCCTTTTAAGGGAAATGGAAACTTCTCCCGACTCCAGATTTCCATCTTCAAGCCAGAATTACCCAGTTGTAGGGCACAGGCATTCCTTCCTAACTCTCCAGAAGAGTCTAATCCTTCCTTGGCAGGATGGGAAGGCTGAGAGGTACGCAATAGGGTGGTCAGTCCCTGGTTTTGTCACTGAGCAGTAGGAAAATCTTTCTAACTCTAGAAAAAGCAGTATGGAGTGCCCAGGGTCCCCTTTAATAGCCCTAGTTAAGACAGGGCCTGGATAAGGTAACCCTGATATAACAGTCCATGAAAGAAACCCAGGAAATAAATGGCTGTTGCCCAACTGAAGCCTGTGAGAAATGAGTTTTCCCCAGTACCTCTGCCCCATCCTCTTAGGGTCCACCCAAGAATAATAGTATTTAATGCTGCTTCTAAAGCACATACAGTCCCAGGTAAGACAAAGCCCCCTGTGACTTACAAATGGAACTTCTCTTCCCAAACAGGATTCAGGTTCCCAAAAATAGTCTTGGTACGCTTCTTGGTTTTGCCCACTTGCACAGTCACGTAAGGGTCACTGGATCCTGTCTTGTCCTTGGCTTGTAGGCCCTGGGCACACACCACTGCAACCCAATTACAGAGGAGGAAGCTTTAGAGTATGCTCCAGAAATCCAAAGTCTTCCATAGCACCACTCATATGTTCTCCATCTTAGAGCAGTCTCTATCTTCTCCTTGCAAGGGAACGCTAATCTCAATCTTCCCCATCTATGCTTAGTCCTGGGCCACCAGTCTTCCTCTCAAAGGTTGGCCCAAGAATCCCACCTGCTCACCAGAGCCCTAACTCACCACTTACCCCTATATTGATATATACATGGGTCAGCCACACCCATCTAACTAGTAAAACACTAGTTTAACTATTCCCCGATCTCCTACTTATCCTGTTTCCCCCACCCCTACCTCTTACAATATGAGACTGTTAACTAAGTATATAACATCAGATTGTTATCAAATCCTTCATTATCATTCCTGTCACTTGTAGGTGGTGCTGGACTTGCTCTCCCAGTACCTGATAGCACCATGGTCTAGAAAAGGAAGGCCCTCCCTTCTCCCTCAATTCTATCCTCTTTCTCTCTAGCCCACTGCTCCCTCAAATTCAGGATGCTTCTTCCTCCAGGTTTCTCCCCACAGCCTAGGCCTTCCTGTCCTCTCAAACTTTTGCCTACTCACCAGTGATGGTAATTTTGGCCGACCATTTGGAGGTGCCATCCAATACACTCTGCTTCACTGTTTTCATCTGTTGCACATGGGCAACTTTGCTCACAGTAAAGACATCTCGGATAACCTCAAAGATCTCTGGCTTATTCCGCTCTCGGATCTTCATGCGGTCCTTCATGGCCATGATTATATTCTGGGTCCGGTCCTCAGCTCCATGTTTAGAACTCTTTTCTGCAGCCCCTGAAGAATGGCCAGAGACAGAAAGTAAGGTAACAATAGGCCACCCACCAGACTAAAGGTAAAGCTGAGGAATGGAGCCTGGGAGAGATCACTGAGAAGTGGAAGAAGCTTAAGACTGGGATGGCTCTAAGAAAAGCTAATCAATATGGGACCTGCTGAAGTTTAATGCCTGGCTAGTGGAATTTAAGCACCAAAAACTTGATAATTATTATGGGGATTTATTATACTATTCCACTTAGATATATGTTGAATTTTTCATCAAAAAAAAAGAAAGAAACAAAAAAGTGTAGCTTAGCCTGAAGTTGGCCTTGTCTTTCTTCTACCCCACATGGTGGTTGAGAGATACCTTTCAAGTTGAAGGCCAAAATACCACCAATGGGTATCTCAGTTATCAGGGAGGGTGGGTGAGTGCACATGACAACTCCACCAATCTCATCCAACTTCCAAGCCATGATACAGATCTCAGAGTTCTTCACCGCACACACTGGATTCTGCCTCAGGACTCTAACGCCTTTAATCTCAGAAAATACTGTAGTATGGTAAGAAGAGTATGGCCTTTGGAATGAGACAAAGTTGGGTTCAAACCCTCACTCCACCACTCCTGTAAGGACCTATTTAGCCAGAGTGACTCCATCTTGGTTAAAAGCCATTTTGTCATTTGTGCAGTAAAACTTAAACTGACTCTGCCCCCCTCCCTTCAGAGAAACTTTTACTGGGAAACCAGTAAAAACTTTTACTGCCCCCCTCCCCTCAGAGAAACTTTTACTGGGAAACCAGTAAAATATGGTCAGCTAGTTCCTAATAACAGAGCCCAGAATACAAGGCCAGGTCGGCCAGTTCCTGATAACAGAGCCCAGAATACAAGGACGAGTCGGGCCAGGTGGAGACATCCAATCAGTAAGAAACACACATACTTTTCCTCTAACCACCAAAGAATGTAAACCCTGCCGTTTGGGTGCCAACCTTGAGCACCAATTCTGACCAGAGTAATAGGTTAGGTCAAACAGCTATTATAGGGTAAACTGTAATTCAATTGGCCACCTGTGTGTGACCTAACATGACTATAATCTCATTGGCCACCTATGTGTGGCCAGACTTTTGCTCTATAAAAGGTAGTCTGTAAGATGGGAAAGGGTCGCTCTCTTCAGAGGCGGCCCTGACCGGTCAGTCAATTCTTGAGCCTGTAAGCTGGGGGTGGTTGCTCTCTTCAGAGACGGTCCTGGCCGGTCAGTCTAACTTCTAATGCTTGGCATAGAATAGAGCTTTGCATAACTTTAACTTGTTTCAGTCTCATTCCCCATGGCCGATCTGCCTGACTTCTAATACTTGTCATAAAATAAAGCTTTAAATAACTTTCACTTTGTCTCAGTCTCGTTTCATTTAATAACGGAGCTAACATCTCCTAGCTGGGTAAACCAGTTTCTTCTAAGAAAATGGCACTTAACTCTGGGGATTGTAAGAAGCTTTATGTTGGCATATATAAAGCATCTGGCCCAGAGCCTAACACCTAGCAGGAACTCAAATAAATGGTCACTTTTATTGTTATCAGCATCACTACTAGCCCCGCAGAGATGGCGAGGGCCATCTTCACCAGCTCTGACCCCAGACAGCTCATCTCAGAGGCTAGCAGGTTTTCCCTACTACCCTAAGGATTGTGGCAAAACAGACTCCTCTGATGTATTTCACCAAATGGGCTTGTCAGAAAGGCCCTCTTTTACTGGCCCTGCAGACTGGCTCTTACCTCGCTCTATTTTCCAAAGGCCTAGGCCTTTTCTATAAATCCTGGAGCAAACATTAAGGCCAACATCTGCATCCTAACCCTGGAAAGATGGCAAGTGGATCTTCTGTCATAGGAGGCCCACAGTAGGGCATTTCATTCCACTCTAAGCTTCACAGAAGCCTTAGGCAAAAGATATTTTCTGATAAATGAAAAATGACCTGGGCTGCATCCTAGTCTTTCCATTTAGCTAGCACATTCCATACACTGCCACCTCCTTGAACTGGGACCTCTAGAAGGCCCTTGAGAAAAAGGTAGATACCCTTGCTACAGAGCAGCATTTCAGAAGACTTCCATCAAGCTACCTATGCAGTCTGTCTGGCTGCTAGTTCTCAGCAATTAAAGCAAGAGTCTGCTGGCACCTGTGCTTGTAACCCCCTTATAATGGGTTTGGGCAAAGTCATCACCAGCATTCATATTCAGTCTTTTCAAGGCCCCATCTCTTCCACTGACTTTGCTGTAGCCATGCCACAGGTACCAATTTAGGGCTCTTCACAGAAAGACATTTTAAAGGAACAATTCTTTGAGACCTCTCTCTGGGCACCATTTATGTCACATATCTTTCCTTGGGATAATGAAGTGCTTATGAATCTAAAGGTAATCTTCCTTTCTCCTCCTACCAATCCTTGAGGCTTTCATTGCTATGGCTTGGCTCTGAGTAACACATGGAAGACCTGGAGGGGCAAGAAAATATTCTCTCATATCCCTAACCCCTGCTCCTCCTAAGGTCTAGTCACAGTGGTACAAGGCCTGAAGGAGCAGAGCAAGGAGCAAGAACTTGGAGGGTTACCAACTCCTTTGACAGAAACTTGTTGCTTTTCCTGCTCCTATTCGCCCCACTCCATGATGGCACCAAAAATCATGAATTTATTCAGGGTCTTAGGAGTTTGGCACATTCTCCTCTGGGACCTCTGCCTGATCCATTTGACACTTCTCTTCCTGGCACTGTCTCTAAAAGCTACATCTATAATCAAGGAAAAAGTGCTGCCTTCCCTGGCTCCTAGGGTCTATACTTGAAGACGTTCTTCTCTGAGGCATGGAACCTCATAGAACTCTCTCTTATTAGTTTTGGTCCCCAGTGAAACATGCTCTAGTCATTTGAGCAATATGGCCACTACAGTGTGTATACTACTCAAGCAGATTCTGGGATTATCTGAATCCCAGAAGAGATCCAGTTCTGCCAGAGGGCCACAGAAAGCTCAAAAATTTTTTTCCTAAAGGTGCTTAAGAGAGTACTATAAGACCTGTTATTTGGAAAGGTAATGCCCCTTGACCCAGGACCCTACTTTCTCTGAAAAAGAAAGAGCTTCACAATCAGGTAAACCAGAGGAATCACAGCCTAGCCATCATAGCTTTTTGTTGAAAGAATATTTTGGAGAGGCCCCTGCTGTCCCTGCTCCACACCCCTCACCACAGGGGCACTCACGCTGCAGGCAGTCGGCGTTGAGCAGGTCCTGGCACTTCTCATGGCACTTGACTCCACACTCGCTGCAGCGCATGCCTTGCCGGGCGATGCCCCAAAGCAGACCTTCACACTCATAGCAGTAGGTTGGGGTAGTGGCCGTCCAGACCTCAAAGTTGTGGGGTGTAGTGCACGAGATGGGGTAGATTAAGGCCTGCAGAGTTTTCTTATACACATGGGATTTCTGAAAGACACACACCCCAGCACCCCCCAGCAACTTTAGGTCTCTGCTGAGAGACATCAGAACTGAGATCCTTGCAGGGTAATACAGACCCTGGTTTCTCCTCTGGCAATAAAGGAGATATGATAGCCAAGACTGGAAGAAAGAAGCCCCACTATGTCATGTGCTCCTGGTCATCCAAGAGAGATCTGACTTGAATGCTGTATCTGAACCTTTTCCCAGCATTCAAGCCTCCTAGGGAAACAGAGGGTGCTAGCCCCACCATAAAACCCTGAATTCACTGGTCACGTACTCTAACATGAGACTTGGTCTTACCTCTGTTCTGGTCCCATGCCTCTTCCAGTGTGGAAAACTCAGACCAAAGCTTTTTATCTGTTTCATTAATGATGTTGTGCCCAACACTCTTGAATGCTCAGTTAGTATGGCTATAAAGATGATAACCAGTTTTTAGGCCTGTGGACTCATGGAAGCCCATGGGTCACTTACCAGCTCTTCATCCTTGAGAGATGTGCGTGTAGCCATTGCAGAAGTAATCCCTGCCTTCCGGGACTGGACCAATGACTGTGAGAGAAGACCTGCTGTCAGCCTTGGCTACTGCCAAGGGCTGGCAAAATCCTAGGAAGGGAGTTTCAGTGACCAAAGTGACTTAACTACTTGACTTAATACCTTCTCTCTAATTGAACTGCCATTCACAGGAACTACCCATGGGTTCTAGGTAACACGAGTCCCAAGTTAAGATCCAAAGCATAAGGCCCTCGGGACTGTTCTAACAGTATTAGAATGGCACTTCTCTTACAGTACCTATCATCCAAAGAGTTTCTCTTTTCTTCCCTATTGGTAGCTTTCCTACCCATTTATAGGAAGGCAAAGGAAAATGACAAGTTTAGAATTACTGTAGGAAATAGTCATTAAGAACAGAATACACTATGTCAGAGTCATATTTAACAACCATCACTGCAAATGATGCCATGCTATCGTTTATCCCTAGGTACCACCTCACACCCACACAATCCCAGGCAGGTGGCTATAGAGGCCAGCAGCCCAAATGAGGACACTTGGGAAGTGAAAGGGCAATGTAACATCAGTCAATCAAGGCAGCGATTAAGCCTGAGAGCTAGGACTGCTCTGCTAGCCAAGCTGTCATGTACAGGAACCTAATGTATCTACCAAGCCCAGGCTTTAGGAACAGCCCCTGAAGAGGCACATGGTTTCCCTAAGGCAGTGGCCATTGGGCAGACAGGAGATACAGTATCAGCCTAAGCAGGGGAAAGAGTTGGGAGGGGCCCAGGTGGTTTGAGATATGGATTCTTACGAAGGATGGAAAGGGGCTCTGGAGTCACTCACCATAGCCTGTGCAGAGGACAGCAGAAAAAGGAACAACATGATGTTAAAGCCACCCCCAAGAGCACAAAAACACTTGCAGAAGCAACTGAGAGGTTTTTCCATGTAGTCTAATCAATGTGGAGGACAACATCCTAACCCCTTCTTCCTCTATCCACTAAAAATTATCTTCAACGCACCCAGGTGTCCAGGGCCTAGAGCTTCTGCTCTAAGAAAGAGTCATGCCAGAAAGTAAAATATAGGCAAGGTTAAAAGATGAAGATGGGAGCGGGAAATGACTAAGACACTGTTATTCAATTAATTAAGCAAAGAGGAGCTGATGTGCAAGAGAGATGGGGGTAGGCAGAGGTGGAGAAAAAGTAGGAAGACAAGAAAAAGGAGATGGAAGATAATGAAAGTAGTAAAGAAGAGATGACCTTAGAACCTATCCTCATCCAACCAGCTTGATGGTAAGTGGAGACGTACATTAGAAAGAAAAAAAAAAATAGAAAGGAGAGATACACATGCAGTAGGGAAAAAAAAGAGAGAGAGAGAAATGGCAGAGGATTAATCCCATTCAGTCAACTAGGGACAGAGAAACTGGGGGGTGGAGTGGGGGGAAGAGCAGGGAATGAAGGAGAAATGGGAAAAGGAGTGGATAGAAAAACAAAATAGACTGAATGGGGGAGGGGAAAGAAAACAGGAACAGAAGATAGTAATAAGAAAAAGGGTTCAAGTCTTACTGAACTTCGAGCTTTAGAGCTCTAGGATTCTGGGAATGCCTGGGCCCCACTCTACCCACACTACCCACTAGTCTATGGAAAATTCTGAGTTGATCCTGCCTCAGGAGGCATCACCCAAGGTGGGACCTTCTAGTTATTCTGGATGTCGTGAGATCAGCTTTAACTCCCTAAGCTTGTTTCATTCAATTCCACAATTTTTTTTTTATCATTATCTCTCAGTGCCAGACACTGATTTAAATACTAGGGACACAGAAATACTCCAGAAAAATCTATCTTAGGAGAAGACTGTCACTTGATCTCCAAGGAGTAGCATCAGTCATGCTCATTATACACTAAACTAAATGATCTAGCTCAGTGCTAGGCAGTTATATTCACTTCTATTCTATTCTATAGAGGCAGCTTCTATTCCATATCATCAAAGAAGGTTGTAGAAAAACGTAGAGGAACAAGACTACTCTAATGAGGGAGTAAGTTAGAACAGGTCCAACTAAAGTCTCATCACTAAATCTCAATAAAGCTTTAGATGATACATCTTCAGTCCAATATCTGATGCTAAATGGACCATAACCAGTCCTAATAACATGCCAAGGCCCATTGGGGGGATACCCCAAGCCTACAGCCTAAGTCTGCAAAGAGTCACTCACCAAATCACTGACAAGCGGCAGTGGCTTCTTTCTGCGTAGATCTGGCATGCTGTCAATGCCATAGAGCCCTCCAGCTGGCCTGAGGAAAGAAGAAAATATGTCAGGACCTCCAGTCCTGCCTTGTTACTGGCAGATTCAGTGTTCTATTCTCCTTGCTCACTCTGTCTCCAGAGGAAAATTTCTACCATGTGTCCCTGAGAGGGGTAAGGAAGACACAAAGCGAGAGAAATAAAGCCACAGAATGACCATCAATGGAATCTGCTCTGAGGGTGCCCTTCTGAGTATCCTTCCATAGTTCTGGCCAAAAATCGAGAGCTCTTTTATACCATTACAGCACTTCAAGAATCCTCTGTTTATTTGAAGGCCCTTGGTACTCCATAATGCAAGCAGGGAACTGGTAGTTAAGAGGGCTGCTCCCCACACTCAGGCCAGAGACACTGCTCCCCTAAGATCAGGGTTTCCTGGTCTATGTTAGAACAGAGCCCATAGGAATGGCTCTACAGAAGAGGTGCTGCATTAGTAAGCAAGACTGCTAATGACATGTAGGAGATAATCTTCCCCATCCTGAGTAAAAGAGTCACCAGTTCTGTCCATCCAAGCCTCCTGAAGAAAAAGGGTCTCCACAGAAAGAGGAGCTTGCATAACCAAGTGGAAGCAGGGAAGGTGGGATAGAAGACTTCCAAAAGGCCACTTAGAGAGGAAAAGAGACCATTCAGGAAGGAAACAACAGAATGACTCTGAAAGTCTGGCCTAGCCCTATGGATACTTAACAGGGAATGGGGGGAAAAAAAAAAGAAATTACAGCTGGAGCAACTAGAGATTTCTAAAATTTCTATACCTTTTCTATTGTTATTAATTTTGTTGTTCTTTGCCATTTCTTCCAAAACTATATACAATAAAAATAAAGAGAATGTCCTAGAACACCACTCTCACAATGAGATAACCTGGATTTTATCCCCAACTCTAATTCACTACATGTCCTCCACCAAAATTACTTCCTCTCTTTGGGTCTTGATGCCAATTCTTTTTTTTTTTTTCTTTAAATTAACATATAATGTATTATTTGCCCCCGGGTACAGGTCTGTGAATCATCAGGCTTACACATTTCACAGCACTCACCATAGCACATACTCTCCCCAAGGTCCATAACCCAGCCACCTTATCCCTACCTGCTCACCCCCCAGCAACCCTCAATTTGTTTCATGAGATTAAGAGTCTCTTATGGTTTGTCTCCCTCCTGATCCCATCTTGTTTCCTTGATGCCAATTCTATAAAAGGAATGAACTACAAAATTTCTCTGACATTTTAGAAGCTGTCATTCTGAGCCTCAATGAAAAGAACTCATGTACTTAACCTTAATGAAAACATGGAAACAGGGAAGGTGGTAAGGTAGTTGGGTGGTGTATCATAACTGGTCTGAAAAGGGATGTTGAGAAGAATAAATAGGTACTGCCAGCTAGCTATATAGGCAAAGAATGAAGCCATGAATTAGGTCAAGGCCAAGAGCTACAACAGGCAATCTGATATGTTGATTCCTAATAAACTAGCTTCCCAAACACAGGAAATGAACTTTGCTTTCAATTAGACTACCAGACCTAAGGAAGTTCTAAACCTGTGACAGCTTCCAAGGACTAAGCTGAAGGAAAGGAAAGACAACAACTGGGAGGCATTTAGAAAATTACTGTACGGCCCCATTTAAAAATAGCTTTAAAAATTAAAAATAAAAATAGCTCAGATATGTTTGTCATGTACGTATTTTCCAACCATTAGAAGAAAAAAGCTAATGTCCTGAAGAAGGGTTGTAGAAAAAGCACCTGGTACCACAAGTTTGTGGTTAATTCTAAAAACTACAGTATGTACCACTTAAGCTTTTTACAACATAAATGGGCTTCAGACAACAGAAAAAAGGATAGTTCATTCAAATAACCAACTCTTGATTTAAAAAGGACAAATCACAAGGAAAAGGAGCATGTGAACACACAGTAGAAAACTTTATGATCTGCTCTTATTTCTTCCCTGGTCATGATGAAGAGGAGGCATCCATTGGGAACTCTCATGTCAGAAGGCCTTTATGGGACAAGGAGAAAAGGAAGATCCTGAGAAATAATGGGTAGGGAGAGGTGGGGGGGACGGGGGTAAACTCTTCCTCTCTTAAGAACAGTCAGTTATAGGCAGCAGTTGAGCAGCTTAAAATGACTCTCTGCTGCAGTCACATGGGCCTGAGACTCCCAAACAAGAAGCACAGACAGAACACACTGAGCTCATAAGGGATGCTACTTATGTCTTGACTAGAATGGAAAGGAATAAGTAGGTGACTCACAACAGCTGAAGTCAGGACAGAACCCAGAGAGTAATCTAATCAACCATGCTTATAAACAATGCAATAAAAAAGAACTGTGTCAAAGGTAGATATTTTTCTAGTTTCGTCTTTCTTCTACCTAAAGGGTATATAATTACTAAGATGCAAAGAATCGGAAATTCTAGAGGCAAGGATAGAGAAGCCCCAAAGCTCCCTTCCCTGCTCCAGGGGAACCACTCTATAAAGCTCTCTCTTCTGTCTCTGAGGGATCAGTCTGCAGAGTTCTCTCCTCTCCCCAGAAAACCAACCAATCTGTATAGCAGAGCCTCTTCTTCCCCAGGATCCAACTGAGGAAGCTTTTTCTACTGCTTCCCAGGGGGAAAAGCTGGAAGTTGAGTGAAAGCCTGTAAAATCCAAGGAAACCTTGTAGGGAATCACTTACCCTTCTGGGAGCCACTGAGGCAAAGAGGAGTGACCATCATCTGGAATCTTTAAAAAGAGATAGGAAAAAAGTTAGATCCTAGAAAAGATGGTAGGCAGTCATCTTTCTTTGGTCAGGCAGTGAGCAGTAAAGTAGGAAACTCAGAGAAGTGTAGGTTACATACAATCTGTGGTGACACAGCCAGACTGATGTCTAAGCCAGTGCCCTGATCAGCCAGAACAAAAAGCAGGTTGTTGAAATGAGCACTACTTTGTCTCCCTTCTCCCCAGTGAATAAGAAGGATATAAAGTCAAGCTCACTGAGATCTCAAGGCTAAGGTTCACTGGGAGTGTGAGAGGTGCCAGAACGTCCATCCCCCTCATACAATTCACTGGTATATATAACAGTAAGTCAAAGCAAAAAAAAAAAAAAAGTCCATTTGGGGCTTCCAGGCCTCACCTCACTCACTTAAGCAAAAGGACAACTTCATATAGAATCTTCTTCTAGTTATATTCCTAAGTTCCCTTTGCCGTCACAGAGTGGTGACTTGGTCTTTCCAGATTCCCATTTCATCTTGTGATTTGACTTGGCTTAGGTTCCTTGAAGTCCTGACTCATAGACATTCTACATTTGATAAGCTCTCTCTATATATATAACAAGAGAACCCAGGGTAGATTTGATACTTAGAGTCTATCTTCTGGTGGACATTATGAGCTCTATAATGAGAAATTGAAAACTGAGGTACCAAACAATTCAAAGAAGAAACAGTTTGAAAACAGTTTTTAAAGGGTTCTCCATAAGCAAATGAACAAACAAACCCACAGAAAAAAGTCCTTTAAGCAGTGTACAGAGCAAAGTTCCAAAGCTTTGGAACTTTCAGAGCTCTCCAGAGAGCCAATGGTAAAGGCTGTTTAGGCTCAAAAAACCTAGTGCTAGCAGGTCTGGGGCTTCCCACCCCCTCCTTGTTCCCTTCCACCCCCCAAAACTTTCCTGACTCCTAATACCTGGGCTCCAGCTAGCTATCCTGGAACAAAAGGGCTCCAAAGCAGGGAAGGCAGAAGTAAGGTGTTTAACTATGTACAGGGGGTAAAGTTTTGGGAGAGCCACAGATGGGAGAAGTTATAGATAAAATTAGGCAAGACAAAGTAGAAAAGGGAGAGTTAGGACAGCCGTGGCACAGGTGATGTAAAAGTGGGTAAGAATTACCCTGGGTCAGTAGTAGGCTCAAGATGAACTTTGTATTTAAGACCCTTCTCAGATTGTCTGTATTCTAAGAAAGCCTATCTGCCTGTTTCCTATAGCCCTTCATGAACCTATTTCACCTTATCTGGCTCTTGCCCTGGTTCTGTGGGTGGGATAGTACTGGCAAAAGGAGAACCAAGCCCAAAAGGAAACCAGAAGTGGTTGATATACCTCTCCTAAGGTTGCTTCTGAGGGGTAGCTCTATCCCTAAATCCCCAAATAGTCCCAAATCCCTAAATCCCCAAATCCAAAATAGTCCACTGTACTGAGCAGATTTTTATTTCCTGCCTAGAATTAGATGTTTGCCAGAAACCACAGACTTTAAGGAAACAAAGTCACAAAAGGTCTCTGGGAACCAGGTTCAACGAGCTCAGATCATACACATTTCCTATGCTTAGAGGAGGTAAAGGGTCTGCTAAAGTCTGCAGACAAAGCATAGAGCATGCACACAGAGGTACTGAAGGAGGACTGAAAGAGGAGATCCAAATAAAGTACCTACAGCAGATATATTCATAGACACAACTTATGCCTGAAGGAAACACACGGTGGTCACGGATCCTGCACATAGGGTGATAAAACATGTGCACACACCCATTTGAAGGATTCAGTGTTCCCCATGGCTGGAATCATAGGCAACAGCAAACCCTCACTGTCTTCAAGAACCAGTGCTTACGGGCACAAAGCATTAGTTATACTGTGCATTCACATGGCATGGGGGAACCACATCACAGGTCTACAGAACCTTGTGCTCACAGAGAGACCAAGAAACCTTTTCAGAAGCGCAAAGCACATTCACACTTAGGACCCCAGGCAAGAGGCACAAAATGCCCATAGCAACTCCTGCTCCCAAATACAAAGTGTATGCATGCTGGGCTCAGCCAGGGTTTACAGCATATGCCAACCTGCAGCAACAAGCAAAAAAATGGACAAACACTGTGTAAAGTAGAAGAGGGGGGCAATCAGTGTTTGGGGTAGTCAAACTGAGTACAAGTATAAGCACACACATGCTACATTGAATGTGCACCATGCTGGCACACACATTCTCACACTGTGCTCCAGGGATGTCTGCACACGAGAACGGAGCATGCTTACAAACTGCTTTCAGGAAAAACAAGACTATCTGCAGGAGCCAAAGGTCAGGGGCACAGATCATACATGTGTGTGCAGGGACGCACACATACACACATGTGCACACACACGCACACCGTGCTCAGGAGAGAAGGGTTGAAAACAGACAACAGAAAGGGCCCAAGGGGCCAGAGGCACAACCTGAACGGCTCCTCGCTTTCCTTCTGCAAGGAGAGAAAGAGCAGGAAAAAAGAGCAGAAAGGTTAGTAGATTCAGTCCCATAGCATGGAACCCCAAGAAAATGCCAGCTAAATCTCAAGGGACATGGAGGAAAGAAAAAGGTCCCCTGAACAGCTGGGCAGTTCACAGAGCCTAATTTCCAGAATCCCTACATACTATATTGGCTAGCCCCTCCTTTTAGTTTAGAACAGTTCCTGTCTGGCTACTCATCCTAAAGGACAAAGTCTACCTGGGAGTTTCAGTCACCCACTTCCCCTTTCCAAGCTGGCTTGCATGCAATGTCAGGGAAACCAGGGCCACAGATTTTGTTACCAAGGGCCACTCCGACAGGCTATCTGAACTGGGTAAGTACAAAGTGAGTTCCTTCCTCAGAAGCTATATGTACTCTCACCCTGGATCTGGGGTAAGTCCTCAAGCCCCAAAGTCCTGGTAATTGAACCATTTCTCATTTTACCATGCAGGCTTGGCCATGCATTTGCCCAGCAAACCCTGGCTTGTTTTCCCAAAGCCTAAGTTAAGTTAGGACAGTTTAAGGTCTGAATTTAAGGCTAGGACCAGGATGCTTAAAGGCTATAGCTGGAGGCATCACCTGGCCCCTGCCCTAATAGAAGTCACCAAGATCTAGATGATAAAACCATGATAGCAACCCCAGGCCTGAATATCTATTAAATCCAGAACAATACTCCAAAGGAAATGGATGCTTCCAGAAGGACCTTAGCAAGCCACAGTAGAGAAAGATAAAGTCCAGAGATCACTCCTTCTACTCATCAGGCTACATTACCTATTAGGAGACATGGATAGCTCCATAGGTTTCCTTCTCTAAGGCAAGTCCATTCACCTGGACTGAGCAGCTCCCCTCCACTTTCTTTTCCCTCCCTTTTAAAGACCCACTGATATTACATAACAAGTAAAACAGAGAATCATAGAAACTAATTCATAAGTTTCCAATTTTTCAGTTATTTCTAATGGCCTAACGGGTCACCTGACTTGACAGAAAAGTGAACTCGGGAATAGGAATCCTCCAAAACAGTGCAGCTACAGAAATGTGGATAAGATGCAAAAAACACTTGCTGGAACGGGGCCATATCTCTTTTACATCTACTCCCACCTCCCCTACTGAACTCTGCTCTCTTTGAAAAAGAAAATAAGGCAAGGAACACTTTAACTGACCTGTGATTCAAATTAGAAAGGTTTCTATCTCCACTATCTTAAAAATACACTCTATACATCATGTCAAAGTTAAGTTGTGTCTTTCTATTCTTCCCAGAGTTCCCCATAATGCGTAAAAATCTGCTGACAAGGCTGTCCGTATATATATAATTTTACTTTTGTAGCCCGAGGGCTTAGCACATTTCCTAGCATTTGTATATAGCAAAAGGAACCTAAACTTTCAGGACTTAGAAAACAATAGCTTCTAAGAACATGTGTTTTGCCCATCACCAGAGAAAACATAGGTCTCTTAGCTAACAGTCTGTACCATTTTTCAGACCCCAAGGAACTGCTGTACTAGCTCTTCAATTTGTCCCACCCACTGGACAAACATAAGAAAACCTTTTTCTTGTTAAGAGTCAAACTTTTTTGTGCGACCTAACTTTCTAAAATGCCTTAACATTTTTCTACTCAGATTTAGTTTTCAGTTTAAGTGCAATGTATCTGTAGAACACCCACTCTGCCAAGAAAAAAAAATCCCTGACCCCTAAAAATGACTGCACTCTTGTCGAGAATACATTTTATAAGGAAGTAACATACTTCTTCATTATTAAAACAATCTTAACTTCATTGTACTTGGGAGTCAAAAGACTTGAGGTACTCAAACTTATTTGAGCCTGCATTTCCTTATCCGTAAAAAGCAGATAAGACTGCTACCTCCCAGGCTTACAGTGAGGATTCATTTCTTCAACAAGTACTTACTGAGAACCTACTGCACACTAGGCACTGTTCTCAGCGCTGGTGATGAAGCAAAGGGAATGAAACAAGCTCCCTGATCTTGAGAAGCTTCTATTCTAGAGGAAGAGCTGATGACTGATCATGACAAAGGTGATGATAGTAGCTAACACTATAATGTATCTGTCATTTTATTTGAATAAGCTCATTTATTTCTCCCAACAACTCTACTGGGTAAATACTATTATTATCTCCATTTTTTTGTTGATTAAACTAAAGATCATCAGGGAGGTTAAGAAAGTTGCCTGAAGTCACAGCAAGGGACAAAGCCAAAATTCACAACAGGGCATTTGGTTCCATGACCTAGATCTATATACACACCGTATCTCTTGTGACAGAGACTCTGCTTCAAAATTCAGATAAGGTGGGGAAGATAATGCCCCCTATGGTGACATTACAGTTACTATTTTTTCTTAAAAATTTTATTTATTCAAGAGAGAGGGAAAGTGAGCATGGTGGGAGGAGGGGCAGGGGGAAAGGAAGAAACAGACGCCCGTCTGAGCAGGGAGCCTGACATAGGGCTTGATCCCAGGACCATGAGGTCATGACCTGAGCCAAATGCAGATGCTTAATC